AGGTTTTAAGAAAATGGGTTCACCTGGATGGCATTTTTCACCTGTACTGTAAAAACCTCTTTATTTAGATATTAAAATATTGAGGCAGAATCTTTATTTTTTAAATCAGACATAAGTTAAAGGATTTAAGTATTAGCAGCATATAAACACTTTTATTCACTTACATAAAATAACTAAACAATGACCAAGATTTGTATTAAACAGATTCCAAAGTCTAACTGGTAAGTCAAAACCACCCCTATTTTCTTAAACATAAAAGTTATGGAATGTAAAGTTTTGATTTTTATCTAATAGGAAATTAAAGCACACTGCATTTGACTGATTCAAGTGCTCCTACACAGCTCTGGAGAATGACAATAAACTTATCTGCAAGTGATGCAGGCCTCTTCTTCTGTTATCTCTCAAACATCTGGAATATATTGCATACATCATGAAAGGGACATCTATAACACAGATGCCTCCCCAAACCACAAAGTGTACTTTTACGGTTATTTCTGAAATTCAATTTTAGGTATTATATCTGAAGAGTAGCTAAGTTTGCATCTGTCCAAATTCTAGCATGCAGATATTCTACCATTACAAACTAAAATTTCCAATTTGTGAAAGTTAACTTTCAAGTTATTTAAACCTCTCTCACAGCAGCTTTAGCCCATGTATCAATTACCAAGAGATTTTCTTCATCAATGTCTGGAGACCACATTCATGATTTCTATAAGACAGAAATAAAGCAAGTGAACTGTACTGAATGTTGGGAGTACAGAATTTGTGGGAACATAATTGGTTGCAAATGAAAGTTAATGACTATTTTGTACAATATTTATTAATCTAAATCAAGTGTTAAAAAAAACCTTGAGAATTACATAGAAGTGCTTGAGGTAGCAGCTACAAGACTTTTAAAAGAGTTTGGAGTTAAGACCAATTCGTATTCCATGATTTGTGGAGCACTTCCCCAAAAAACAAGACCATTACTTTCCCACCTTCACGATATGTATAAATTTGATTTCAAATTTTCATAGAAATGTAAACTAAAGCATTCTGAAAATAAGTCACTACATACTGCAAAAGTTCATCTTAGCAGCAGTTTGTTTCTGAAGTGTTCTTTGTTTAAATGAAGAAACTACAAACACCTGATAACACTTACCTCAACAAGTTTTGTAGCATCACCCTGTATTTGTTTTCCATAGTTTGTATCTTTAGATTGTGGACCAATTCTGAGACTAGCTGGCAAGTCAATATTGGCTGTTCCTAAAGCTTTGGCTGCATTAGCCTTTGCTATTTCTAAAAGTTCCATCCTATCTGGAAAAGAGAAAAAGCAAAGTAATTATTAACACCTAAAAGCTAATTTTCTATCAAGGAAATCATGCATCACTATACTATCACCGTGCAGGGATCAAACACACTTCTTAAAAAACAAAAACATCTATCCTTTTCTCCCCATTCCTGCAGTTTTACTCCTTTAATAAAAAGATGACATTTATGGAGTGCTTTTAAGCTGTACACGTGCCCTGTGAAGTAGCCATTACAGCCATTATTTATTATTCTTGTTCAGTCAAGTCCAATTCTGTGACCCCATTTGGGGTTTTCTTGGCAAAGATACTGGAGTGGTTTGCCATTTCCTTCTCCAATTCATTTTTACAGATGAGAAAACTGAGGCAAACAGGGTGAATTGATTTGCCCACGGTCACACAGCTAGGAAGTGTCTGAGACCAGATGTGACCTCAAGATGAGTCTTCCCAAGTCCAGATCCAGCTCTCTCTATCCACTTCCACGCCTAGCTGCCCTACACCACTATTAGCCATCCCCATTTTACAGATATGGCAAGAGTATTAAGTGACCTGCCCTTTAAATGTCAAGGGTCAAAGTTTGAGTCCAGGTCTCTAATTTCAAATCTAGCACTTTCTCAGTATCTTGGGAAAACAAAGGGGCCACATGGTGTAACAGACAGTAGTGACTTCTGCCAGGCTGTCAACAGACCAAGATCACAGTATCTTTAACTTCTCTAGCTCCTTACAGACCATTAATATTACATTTACACTCCACAACTGGAGCCTCATTACATGACTGTGCCCTGCTGACTTTGCTGCCGTTAAAGAATGTAATCATGTATTCAATAAACAGAAAATAGAAACTGGTTTTTAAAAGCTCCTAGCCACTCTGCAACTTTAAAAAGAGCTATTGCTGACAGTGGAGTTTGGAGTGTGGTCAAATGGGAAATCATATGAGAAGTCATTTTGAGCAACAATGTTACAAATGGAATTTAGACAAATATACAGTAAGTAAATGAACAACTACAGACATACTTAAACACAAATTTTCTGTTCTATAGACACTTTGGCTTATTTATACAGCTGAAGCTCAATGATGGCTAAGTGAGAAATCTTTAGTTCACACATACAGTATATAACTTTTAATGCTGAATATTGAGGCAGTGTTGAAACACTCCTATTCAAAGATTCTAAAGTCTACAAGATTGGAGTTCAAATGCAGCCTCAGATACTCACTAGCAATGTGACCCTGACCAGTTACTTAACCCTTATTTGCCTTAGTTCCTCATTTATACAATGGGGACACACTGGAGAACAAAATGGCCCACCACTCCAGTATCTTGGCCAAGAAAACCCCATGGACTTTTATCAAAACAAAAGTCCACAGGGTCACACAAAGCCAGGCATGCTTGAACAATAATTCCAAAGATGAATTATGAATATATAATTCCCCACTGCTGTACACATGAAGTATGTTGTTTCTTTTTTTCCTCTGCAGAAGACCAAAGATGACTTGGTGGGGGGAAAAAACTTAAAAACAAACAAAAAAACACTCTGCTTTTTAGAGTGTTAAGAGATAACCTTTCTAGAACTTTATTCAATAAACACAACTCATGTTAAAACATATTTGTTGATCTGAATTTAGTTTGACACTAAATTTTGTCACCACAAGCAGCAATTAACTTATTCCTCCAAAACCCAACAGATCACCTAGTCATCAACGACTTTCAAAGTGTCAAGTAGCTGGTAAAGCCGTTCAGGTTCTTTTTAAAGGCTCCACACTGCACTTGACACTCGTGAAGGAAAATATTGTTTTCTGAATAACTTACAGTGGGTTATTTAGCCCCTAACTGAGCCAGATCATTGACCCCAAACTCTACCACTGCCTCTATAAGGGGCCAACTTTTTAACTTATGATTCTAAAGGGAGTAACAAAATAAGGCCACTTAAAATGGGTTCAGTTTAATATGGCTGAATAGATCCCTAGAACACACTGGGACTCCTGCAAGCTTTTATTAAATAAATCTAAGGTAAACAACAAATACTTCCCTAATTTAAGTATAATCCAGACAGACCCCTAGCACTAACTTTGCAGAACTCAACTTAATGTAACTGGTTTCCATTCAAGTTTTTACAAATGCTCCATAAAGTAAAGTTCACTCCCTCTATTGGAAACCATTTCTAAGGGGGCAGCTAGGTGGCACAGCGGACAGAGCACGGACCCTTAAGTCAGTAGGACCTGAGTTCAAACGTGACCTCAGACACTTGACACTTACTAGCTGTGTGATCCCAGTCAAGTCACTTAACCCACTGCCTCACCAAAAAAAACCACATTTCTGGCGTCAAGAGATTCCTGTACCTAAGTAGGTGAGCGCACATCCGATGTAATTTTTTTTTTAAGATTTTGGAATAGTTTTGCTCTGCTATTCAACTTCCAGATCCGATATCTCTTCCGCTTCAGAAAATCGACTTACCTTTCTCGCTTAAACGCAGAGGAGTCCGGCTGCGGGACCTGGACCGAGACCGGTACCGCCAGCTCTTGCGTGCCTCCGGATAGACCGTCCGGCCGAAGCCATAGTACCTTCGCCCCCGGGATCCCGGGTAAGCTCTCCGGTAGTACGACCGTCCGCGGGACCTGGACCTGCTGCGGGATCTGGCCCGCGAAGGCGATCGGTAATACCTGCGGTAGGCCCGAGGCGGGGGCCTCAGCCGGTGCCGGCGGCTGCGGGACCTCGAGCGGCTCCGGGAATAGGAGCGCGAGTAGCGGCGGAACTTCCGCTGGTGGCGCCGGCGGGACTGCGAGCGAGACCTGCTGCGCCTGTGGGACGACCGGCTCGAGGCGGACCGAGAAGTCGCGGAGGACGACGAGCTGCGCGACCTCGACGAAAGCCGGCTGGAGCGGCCCGTCCCGGAGCCCGACGGGGAGTCCTTCCCCTGGGGAGAGCCGGGCCACATGTCGTTCACGTAGCTCGTCATCGCGGCGCTCCTGCAACAAGTCATCGGAAGCGGTCAGCCTCCCGGAAGAGAAGGCCGGCGACGCCCAGGCCCCGCCCTCGCTCTCCCCCGGGCCAGGCCCCCCCCAGGGGTCGAAGGCAGGCCCCCGTAACCCGGGTGGGACACCACGAGGAGCTACGTCCTAGTTGTACGAGGCACTCCCCGGCCTCCGCCTGCGGCCCTAGCGCCAGCTCCCCAGCGCGCCCCAGTCTGCGCAAGCGCAAGCTCTCCTCGGGCAGGCTGCCCTCCGTCTCCCTCCTCTCTTCCCCTCCGCCCCGGCAGGCCCAGCACGCAAGCGCGATTCTTCCCCCCATCTTCACCCGCTCTCTTCCTCCGTCAGCCCAGTCGGAGAAAGCCGACAGTCCACGACCCAGGCTAAGAAGCGGGACTTACTCGAAGCCGACACCGAAAACAGTGTGTGAGAACAGGGGGCCCCGGTGGTCTCCTCTTTCCAACCAAGAAACAGCTCGTAAGGTCCACCTTCCGCACTCCACCGTCGTCTCCGCCTTCTGAAAGCGCCGACGCCCAGCAGCCGCCGAAAGTACCAGAAGCCCGCCTCGTCGCGCACGCGCAACGGCAGCAGGAGGGGCGAGGGTGGGGGCTGGCCTTGCCAATCCCACCCCAACCTGGCGCAGACATTCCATCGGAATGCGCATGCGCGTCTCACAACTCCCACATCCGGGCTTTGGGCCGGGCCCTTAGTTGTTCGGTGGCTTCGGGCTTGGCTGGGGAGGCTTTTCAGGGCGGAGGAGTTTTGCGGCGGAGCGCCGGGGACTGACCGACGGACTGACGGCCACCAGGTCCGCGCCGCTGCTGAGGGCTGAGGGCCGGTAAGTGCGGGGCTGGCCCCAGGGCGAGGGCCGGGGAGGGGAGGCGCCCCTGGAGCCTCGCCTTACCCGAGAGCGCCTCGGATCCTCGCGACAGCTCGTGAGGCAGCTGCCAGAGGTGTCAGCCCGCTCTGAGAGGCGAGGAAACTGAGGCACACCCACAGTCCCATCTCTTCTGGGTGCCGGAGGCGCCATTCGAATGCGGGTCTCACGGGCTCCAGCCCGGAGCCCCGCAGCTCCCCCACCCCCTCTTCCTCTTCTGGAGGGAAGAGGATTAGTGAAGCTCCGGGGCCCGGGGGGAGGAGACTGTCCTCGCCACCCCCCCCCCCCCGCGGCCTGAGTCTTGGAATTCCCCGAGAGCTTCCTGCGGAGCCCCGCCCCTGGGCGGGCTCCGGGGAACCCACTTCGGTGTCACCCCTGCCCAGTATCAGTAGATCCAGAGAAGGGGGGTGCTGACACCCCAAGAAGGGAGCGGACGGCTTCTCTGCTCCCCCTTTTCTTCCGCCAGGGTTTTGGACGAGGGAACAGCTCTGGGCGGGGATGGACGGAGGGTAGCTTGGCCATTTGAAAAAGGGTGCTCCCTGGATTGGGAGCGAGAGGACACGAGTTTTGTGACTTTAAGCAAGGGGCTGTCCTCAGGTTTCCCCACTTCTACGGTGATCTCTGAAATCTTGTCTAGCTCTGAATCAGGATCCTATAAAAATCATCTAGTGCTCCCACTTCCCACCACTTTACAAATGAAGGTAAGTTCAGAAAAGTTGTGACTTCAACTAGAGACACAACTGATTAAAATCGATACTTTTTCAATGTTTCAAAAATCCCTGTTTTAATCCATTTTTTTTTAATGAGTTGCTGTGGCCAGTCTTTTTGAAATGGTCTCTGTGCTTAAGTAAATGGCCTTTTAAATTTGGTTAGGTTAAAGATTAGCCTTTAAAAGGTGGGAAGTGGGGGTGGAGTGGTTGGTCACCTATGTGCCAAAATGAGACACGAAATGAGAATTTCATTGGAGGTAACCTTTCCAACTATTTTTTTTTTCAGTCAGAGTAGTGAGGTTTTATTGTAACACCAGTTAGGCGGGTGATATTCCTAATAAATCTGCATAAGCTTAATGGGGGTAAGATTGGTATTTTTATTGAGAAAATGTGGATGGGCTCTAGGAGTGGCAAGTAGCCTGGGGTGGGCCAGGTGCGGACAATGAAAGCCTGCGGTGGGTTGGAGGGCCATAATGAAAGGACATTTGAAAGGATTATACTGGGATGGGCAGGATGCCTCTGGGAAAAACTGGGACTGAAATGTGTGTGAGAAAGTTCAAGGACTGAAGGTCTTTCCCTTTTTAGGGTACAGGTCCCATGACCCTATCATTCCCCCCTCAAATGGGACCCAAAATCTTTTGGGGTAAGGGGCAAATGTCCTGGCTTCTGAGAAGGCTTCCTGCTGGCAAGGGCCCTAGAGTTGTTCCTGCCTCAAGAAGGTCCCAGAGAGGAGTTTGCCTGGAACCCAGCACAGGCTACATCCAGGGGACGATGGGTAGACATAGGCTGGTACTTACTGTTTACTTCCAACTGTAGGTGAATGGCCTGTAGTCTGGAAGACATTTTTCATGGATAGCCGTAATTATTAGGTGCTCTAGCTGTGTATGAAAACCTGGCATCTGACCAGTAAAACAGAGCAGCTAGTCCACCTTATTAGCAAGTTACTGCCTTTCTTCTTATGCTGAAATGGTATCCCACAAATGGCTGGTACTGAGACCAGTAGAATTTGGTAGCTCAGGTCTGCTAGAGTCACTCCAATACAATATACAAGCGCTTATCTTCTTCATTGTTTGCCTTTAGGTGGACTATTAAACCTAGCTTGTTAGAGTCTGAGGTAAGTATAATAGTAATAATAACAGCTAGCCTTTTGATAGCTTTACATATGTTACCTCATTTGCTCTTTACAGCCATCCTGGAAGATAGGTGCTCTTATTATCCCCATTTTACAGATGGGGAGATTTGAGGCTGAGGTGGGTTAAGTGACTTTCCTAGGGTCACTTCATCTCAGATCTTTCAAACTTCAGGTACAGTGCACTGTCCACTATGCTCCATTTCTAGAAGTGAGAGAAGAAAGCAGAAAGCAAAGAATGATGAGACAGAATGTTTAGTAGAGTGAGTAGAAGGAAGCTAATAAAATATTTCCTGAAAGAAAATTTCCTTGAAAACCTGAAATGTAGAACACAGAATCTCCAAGTTGGAAGAGACCTCTGAGGCTCTCCTAACCCATAGCAGGCTACATTTCTTTTGGGAAATTGCAAAGCATGCTCACCCTAAGTGTCCAGTAACATCGGCAGTCCATTTTTGAATACATGCATTTTATTGGCATGGCAGGGAGACCTAGAACTGAAGAACTCATGAGGAAATTCACCCAGGGAAGTGGAAAGGCAAAGAACATCATCAGAAAGTTGTGTGACTCAGAAGCTGGGCTGATTGCATGGTAGGGTAGAAAGATAACGGCTGCATGGCCAACGTACTCCACTGGGCACCTCAAAAATAGACCAAAAGTGACCAAATGGACAGAAATCCTCCAGCTCAACCTGGTGGCAGAGTTTGAAGAGGACATAGCAAGGGGTCCGGCACAGAGGAGTTGCTTTGTGAAATTGTTGAAAAAACTCCCGAGTCAGTGAGTTCATGGATCGATTTGCATATTGGTACGCCAGTGCTTGTTCAATAAAGGCCTGAAGATCAAGCCATATGAGAATAAGTTACAGAAATTGAAGATGTTTAACCTGAAGAAGAAAAAACAAACTTAGGGGAAATGACAACTGTCTTCAAGTATTTAAAGGAGTGGGTAGAGTCCTCAGGACCTAGAAACAGGAAGACCTGAATTAAATCTAGCCTCAGACACATACTAGCTTATGTGACCTGACGCAAGTCATTTAGCCTCTCTCTGCTTCAAGTTTCCTCATCTGTAAAATGAGGATGGTAATAGGTTGCTGTAAGAATAAAATATTTGTAAAGTGCTTTGCAGATCTAAAAGAGCTATATATAAATGCTGAACTATCATTATATTCTCTTTTCTTCAGAAAACAGAACATGGGTAGAAGCAGAGAAACGTTTAGCTTGAGATCAGGAAAATTTCTCTCTGAATAATTCCTAAAATAATTTCTCTCCGAAGGGGAGTGGGCTGCCTTTTGCAGGAGTGTGACAGTCTCTTAGCAGGAGCTGGCTGAACAATTGTCCACTATATTCAAGAGAATGTTTGTACAGGTGTGAGTTGATTTAGATGACCTCTGTGATTCTGTAATTCTCTTTCATTTCTTTGTCATGAACCATATTTTCCAAATTATTTTTTGCCTTGCTCCTTTTTGCCCACCTTTACATTAGAATCGCTATTAGGTTAAGCAATGTTTTGCTTTGGAGAATCTCATCAAGTTGATATAATCTCTGCATTTCCTCATCTTCTGTATCAGATGTTGCTGCATGAGCTGTAGTTTTTGCTTATTGTGGTTTTTTGCTTATGCATACCAGAACACTGCAAGACAGGATGACCAAATGTCCTAGAAAAAGCTGTTTCTGATTTCCCCTAGGTAGAGGAGGAAGCCAGTTCCATTACTTGCTTCTCCAAGGAAAACCCATGAGACAAGCCTTGGATTAAGCTTCCTCATGTCTTCTGGTTTGGATCTAGTGAAGATGCTAATATAGAAGTTTAACTTGTTCTAGTAGCATGTCAACTCATTGGCCATTGCTTCATTACATTAATTTAAATCTGTGTTTATTCATGGTCTAAAACTGTTGTTTTTATTACCCTTTGCCCTTTTCTGCTGTTCTGCCCCTGCAGCAGTGGAAGGGAGCTGCATAGGACTGAAGGTCATTTTTAAATTGTCCAGGGCTACTGTGTCCAAATCATTATTTCATGGCCATACTACTCAAAATTAACTGTCCATCATTGGTAATGAGTTGCAGGCTTTTTTAGCTTAATAAAACCTGCCAGATTTTGTAGTGCATGGCATAACTTTTAAGAGTCCAGGGTTACTTCCAGGCCATGATGAAACATAGGAGCAGGACTTTAGTGAAGGCCAAAAACACCTTAGATGTTCTCTGTTGTGGGATAAGTGGAGCCCAAAGCATTCATATTTTTGCACCTAATTTCTTCATACTACTTTGTGTACATTTGCCATGAATTGTCACTTTTTCACTAAGGGCATATGAATATAGTTGAAAACAATAACTGAATGCCTCATTCAGTTTTTTTCTAGAGACCTGAAAAATGTCTGGATTTCTGGAAGGCCTTCGATGTTCAGAATGCATCGACTGGGGAGAAAAGCGTAATACTATTGCATCCATTGTAGCTGGAGTTCTGGTATGTATATTTCTATGATTGAACCTCTGTTTTTTGGTATGCTTCCCTTCATGTGACTAGAATTGTCAAAATTATGCCTTAGCTTCTGTTAAATCTCTATTTTGCAGTACCAGCAATTGCTATGTCACCTTTTCTATCACCTTCATTTTTTAATATATCCCCCACCACCTCCTTCTCAGTGATCCATGTGTTGTAACACGTGTAACATGAAAAAAATCAGTTCTGGAAAACTAAGGAGCATGTTTTTCATTGTGTGTAGTGCCCCACACCTGTAGTCCTCCCCTCCGCAAACAAGGTTATAGAGAGCTGCATTTTCTCCTTTCTTCTCCCCTCTTGACCAGCTTGGTCATTGTACTTACACAGCTTTCCGGGTTTGTTGTTGTTCTTCCCACTTGCATTATTTCAACAAGAATTTTTTAAGTCCCTGCAATAAATGACATCCTGTGCTTATCCAGGATCTGGGGAAGATAAAGAAGTTGTCATTCCCACCTCCAGGAATCTTACACTCACTTCTTTTTCATTAACTTCAGTTTTGCTTGTGCTAACCCAGGGAAGCCATCAATTAGAAGAAAGTCCCCGTATACACCAAGATACCCATAGCTTCACTTTTTTGTGATAGGTAAGAATTGGAAATGAAGTAGATACCCATCATTTGGGGAATAGCTAAACAAATTGTGGTACGTGAATGCAATGGTGGAATACTACTATGCTGTAAGAAATGACATGTGTGATAAGTATAGGGAAGCCTAGAAGGATTTACATGTGGAGGTCCACAGATGTTACATGTTGCATGTTTTTTGGATTTTTGTCAGTGTATTGATTAGTTGTGCTAATTTCTTTTTTCTTTTTAAGAAATACTCATTTGTCGTATGGGGTGGCATTCTGGGAGGGGCAGGTGGCAGGTACTGGGAAAGACTGTGGTGATATAAGAAACAGAAGACATCAATAAAAACTTATCTAAAAAAAAAAGTTTTAAAATCTTTATCGGAGTACCCTCTAATTCCCAAGAAGGGTTACCTTTCTCAAAGTTCTGCTATACATTTAATATAGACTTATCTGTTGTATGTAATATAAGACTTCACGATTACTGTGCATGTAGTTTCTGAGCAGATGCCCATAGAGAGATGAAAGAAGCTAAGCCATCCAAGAAATAGGAGTGCATCATCTGGAGCTGGGTGACTTCATCTCCTCAGCCTTAATACCTTATCGCAGAGTTTCAGAGGGAACTCACAGGACAAAGTTTTGTTTGTGTTCCTTAGGGCATAGGTCTCATCTTTTTGCTAGCATTTTGTTGGTGTGCTGTGCCCTATGGGGTCTTTTTAAAAAGAGTAGCAAGGTTTAACATCTTGAAATGTCCAAGTTGGAAGAAAGCTCTCCCTCATTTTATAGAAGGAAACCAGGAATGGAAGAGGAAGAGGGACTTGCCTATGTCCTATTCCCCACTACCCCATGATTGTGAGCAAGCTTCCGGAGGACAGGGTGTGGGTGGGTTTCATTTTGTTTTAGTATTCCAGGTGCTTTAGACACGGGAAGTGCTTAGGAAACGCCCGTCTGGTTGGATTGGATTGGTCACACACCTTGTAAGCAGCAGAGCAGGCACAATAAGGCCACCTCTCCCAAGCCCCAACCCAGTGTTCTTTGCAGCCCACTGTATTGCCTCCCCTCAAAAAAAACCTATGTTTAGACATTCTGTAGTATATTCATTGAATTTATGTAATTAATAAAAAATAACTAGTTGATATTTCCCAAAGAAATGGCACAAGTAAAACTTAGTGGCACTGTAAAAAAAAATACTGCACTCATAAATACATCAGAAAAGTTTTATATTTTGGTCTCTGAAGTAGAATTATTACCTACAGTGAGCTGAGAATACCAAAAATGAAGCTGTAATTATAGTAGCCAGTGAAAAATTACTACTGTATAGCAGCACTGACTACAGATATATCTGAAATCTGACAAATGAGAATGATGAATTTTAATCTGAAGTGCTCTTTATTTCTGAGCTGTTATCATCAAATTGTGATTTATCTTAGAGTACAATTCCTGGAACTAACTAAAAAAGTGCTAATTATAAAGTCCATGTATATCTTATGACTGTAGTGTATAAATGAAATCTATTTATAAATTTTGTTTTTTATACATCACTTTACACGTATATGTACGCAATGGGTGTCTATTTGCATTCTTCAAAATGTCAGTGAGGGTACTCCCTCTGCTAGTTTCAATCATATAATTCCTCCATGCCTTAGTAGATGGTCTTCATGAATTACTAGATGGAAAAAAATCACCACCAGGTTGCCAGCCTCTCTGCACTTGACTAAGTCAGTAGACAGAGTCTGTTTCTGAGACCATAAGCAATTATTTCCAGCTTGCTAGAACCAGCAAGATGTTGTCATCTGAGGCCATAACCTGAGAGCTCTGCTTTGCCTCTGTATTAAGGTGAACCATCAGAATTGAATGGTTAGTGGCTACATAGAAAAATGTGTACATGTGTAGGAGAGCAACATATAGCTACAGATTCCTGAAAATTCTACTTGTAACAGTTTGATTAAAATGTTTTTATGGGGAGCTTTCTGCTGAGATGATAGAAGAAGCTTGTGGAATTTTGAGAATGTTTGTATTGGTCATCTCACTGCTCTTAAAACCAAGTGTCTATACCAAAGATTTTTGTAAAGGATTTTCCCCCCCTTCTCTGTTTGTTTATACTTGATAATGTCCAGAATAAAATTCACCGAAAGTAAAATTTTAATTTATGCTGGAGCTGAATGTGTTATCATAACTGAAATCATCTGTAAGATGAGATAGTCCTGAGGTGTCTGGCCCAGCTCTCCTTGCCTTCTCAGATTTGAGGGCAGACTCTGTCTCTGGTATTTCCTGGGTTTATGACCATGAGCAGCCTGTCATCTAACCTCCTGGAGTCTCAAGTAATTTTCTAAACTGTAAATAGTTTTAGGGATTGTGACCTGTGTCAGTGGAGGGAGTTCCCACACTGAAATCACAGGGTCTTGATGTCCCTAAATTAATAAACTCCTATTCCATTCACTGCTTCATTGTGATGTGGTAGTGACCCTAGGTTTTCAAAGGCTTTGCTAGTGGAGTATGAGCTGTAGTCCTCTAGCCCTGCTATGCTGGAAAAGTTTCCAATATAGGTCTGGAGATGAACCCAGAACCAGCCCAGCTTTCACTTGAGAAGAGAGCCTCTTTTCCAGAAGATTGGCTCCCTGAGGACAAGTTTTACTTTGGCCGTGGCAGCTCACAGTGATAAAGAACTTAAGGAGGGTTGCCATCAGCATTGCTAGCAGAAGTACCCATACCAATGGAGTCATTGGTCTTTCAAAATGTATTTAATAACTATGATTGTATGTGTTGCATTACATTTTAGAATGTCATACATTTCAGTGGCATATTCGTGCCTGACTAGGTACGTGTTTCCTAATTTTTTTTCCAGTGTTATAACTACAATTAGAATTAACATGAATGATAGAATAGAAGCCCAAAATATTTTTTCAAAACAGCATGTTGGAAAGAACCTTTAAAAATCATCTAGTCCTACTTACTCATTTTAGAGATGAGGAAACTGAGGCCCTAGAGAAAAGTGACTTACCCACAGGTACATAGCAAGTAAGTAGTACACCTAGGGCTGGTACCCAGATCTCCTAACTCCCAGTCCAGTGGTCTTCCATTCACCGTAGCCAAACAGATGCTTCATACCAGAAGGAAATTCAGTCTGTGTAGCCATCCAATTGCTAGATAGATGGTAGCAGCCGCCAGAAAAGACCTTTTCATTATTGTTTATAGAAAGGAGCAGCCAACCATATGGCTGTCAAGTAAACTGAGATTCAACCCAAATCCCGTTAGAGCCTTAGAGTAAAGAGGAAAAAGGCCAGAAGCACAAGAAAACCACTGGAAAAAGAAAGGCACAAGAGGTGTACAGAAGGAGCTAGGAATGTAGAAAATAACATTTGTCCAAAGATGAAATGAGTAAACACTGTGACTGGGAAACCATCGTTTTTGATTACTTATATCCATCATTTGGAATATTAGCTTTTTCTTCTCTCTCCCATCCCTCGTTTTACTTGGTTCCATCCCTGTTGGCTTACTGATAAGGTAACTCCCAAGGTCAGTCTAAATACATTGGCTTGCTGGAGCTCTGGGGGTTGGTTTGAGGCTTGGGTGTATGGCACTCGACAGACATTCTTTTATGCACATGAGGACACAAGTAGAGCCCACGCCGCTACATTTAGACTATGGTTTTTATTACCCTGGTCACTGTCTCTAGTATAAGTTTCCCCCCAGTTCCTAGAATTTTGGGAATTGTCAAGAACAGAAAGGGGGGACCTGTGCTGCATTTTTGTCTCATTCCATTGGGCATAAAGGTATTGACCTGTAAAAAAAACTCTCTTCCAAAAATATCTTCTGCTTCAATCTTTCTTTAAGGAGTGTAAAAATGTCAAGCATCCATCACAGAAGTGTCCTGTATCTAGATGGTGCTGTGTGTTATGAACCCAAGCCTTGTATCTGCCCCCACACCTACCCACCTTGGTCCCTTTGGCTGGTTTTCCTTCTCTCCCCCCTTCCCCACTTCTGCCCTCTCATCCTTCACCATCCTTTTCAGAGCCAGCTCCTTCATGAAGGCTTCTGAGATCCCTCAGGAAGGCATTAGCTTTTCTTCCTTGTACTTTGTGCAATATTTTGCTTTTGTTTTTCTTGTGTGCTTATTTTTGTGTTGTGTTGTGTGCTTTATTTTTGTGTCCCGTTTTGTGTTGAAGTTATTGTTGAACATGTCTCCCAACCATGTGAGCTCCATAAAGTCAGGGACTCTCTGATGTATATCCGGACCTTCCCCAGGGGCCCAGCACTACAGGGTACATAATATACACTCAGTAAGTATTTGTCAAATTTGAATACTTTTACACTTGAGCAGCTCAAAATTCTTCCTTAATTGCTGCAACAGTATATCACTAATAGGCTCCTTTTTCAGGTCAGTGGTATGCTGAGTTGTTCTCTACCCTTTTCCAACTTTTACATGGTACTGTAACTGTAGCAGATTGTTGCTAGATTCCAGGTACTCTTCGGGTCTTTATTATTATGCCACTGAAAAATAGTAATTCAGATAGAGTTATTCATAATAATAACCATGGCCATTGTCTAACACTTCCCTTGAAACCCTGTAAGGATGGTATGTTATACTTTTTTTTTAAGAGATATGAAAACTGAGGCTCAGAATGGTAAGAGACTTGTCCATCTGTCACAAGGCCTGAATTTGGACACTGTATATTATGATTTAAAGTCCAGTCCTCTTGCTACTAAGAGAGTCCATTTTAACAATCAGAATGTACTCTCCTTAAGTGTTAAATCAGTTGCCCAACAAAGGCCTTTCTCTGTAAGGAAGCACACAGAGCTGAAACGTTTAAGAAATTTCTCAGTTCATTAGAAATGGCTATATTATATCAAATTGGACAACAGTCTTCTGGGCTTGCCTGCATTGCTTTAGTTAATATTTTATATTAAACTTGAAATTTTTTTTAACGATTTTTGAGCCTGGCTCAAAAAAATCTTACTTGGGCTAGAAGTATAGTAGCCACTCTTAGGCCCAAACCTATTGTTGATCAGTAGTAAGGAAGCTCCTTTTCCCAACTGGTCCAGTTTGCCCCTCTTTAGGCAATCTGTTTACCTTGTTCATGATATTAACTCAGCCTTGGATACTCCTGCTCTCTTAGCTGCCTCTCCCCTCTGATTTTGAAGAACTGGAGAGTGGGGTACCAAACTCATCCCAAAGCTTTCCATTCTAGATGGAACCTGACTTTCCAGCTAACTCCCCTTTCCATCTGCAGCTCTACTTGGTTTGAACTCCACACAACATGATGCTTCCGCGCTGGCTAACCTTTGGTGTCCATTCCATCCTCCTCCATCCCTTACCAGTTTCTTTCTGTGTGTTGTCTTCTCCAATTAGATTATAAGCTGCTTGAGGGCAGGGATTGTCTTTTTCTCATCTGTATTTTCAGCACTTAGCACAATGTCTAGCACATAGTAGATACTTAATAAATGTTTATTGAATTGAATCGATGCCGACTTAGTAGGGACAGTTGATAGGCTTTAGTCGTGCTCCAGCTAAGAGCTCCCAAACTCAAGTGATTCACCAGCCTTGGCCTTCTGCAGTAGCAAGGATTATGGGCATGTACTGCCACTCTTGACTAAAATTTTTAAATGTTGAAATGAAGTATTCTATTTTCAGTCTTATTACATGAAAAATCCCTTCCTTGGTCACCCAAGATAACATGTTGGTTTTTAATAGTTTTTTACAGGGTGGTGGATCATCATAGATGCAGCTGTTATTTATCCCTCTATGGAAGACTTCAACCACTCCTACCATGCCTGTGGAGTCATAGCGACTCTTGCCTTCCTCATGTAAGCATTACCAAACACTTCCTAAAGCCATCTGGATTGAATTTTAACAAAGAATGTCCAAATGTTTACCCTTCTCTTGGTTCCAAATTTTAAATAATATTTTTTTTCCACACATACATGATTATAGACAAATCTAGTTGTACCTTCAACTTAGAGGACCAAAGAAGGTTAGACTGTGTTTGGCTAGCAGGGCCTGAAATGAGCTTACTGCTTGACCAACGGTAATTATTCCATTAAAAAAATTGGTCATCCTTTAAAATTGAGCAAGATAGCCAAATATTATAACCTTTTTAAAAAGCCAACAGGTATCTCCAATATTTAGCACTTTGTTCCAGTTATTCTACAATGAAACCATCTTAGAATGCATTTTACCAAATGGCAACTTTCATCAATTCCACATGTATGAGTTTTGTTTTGGTATGAGGGACATTTTGGTGTAGAGGATAGAGGCAGGGCCTCGAGGAATCCCAGGCCCGCCTACACGTGTGCTGGCTGTGTAACCCTGGGCAGATTGCACGTAGGACCTCTTAGGGTCCCTCAGGCTTGCTGAGATTGTGAGCTTCAGAGCAGTGCCTGATCTGTGTTAGTGCACAGGCATCTTCTCACCAAGAGCGTTGTGCACTGATGAAATTCCTGGTGTACTCCAGAAAAAAAAATCCATGTTTTTGTTAAGGGTTTTAATCTCTCCTCTCAGAAGTACTTTTTTGTGTGATGATGATGGCAGGAGCAGTGTGCATTCATAATTCTGTTACCCCATCTGATCCTCACAACAATCCTGTGAAGCAGGTGCTGAGGCTGAGAGAGTTGCCCAGGGTCACACAGCTAGTAAGTGTCACTACGAGGCAGCAGCTCAGGAGAAAGGTGAAGGAGAACGCACCTGTACCGTGGGCTGGTTGGCTTTTTAATGAAACCATTCTGCCGTGCTTCTGGTGACCTGTCACCTTTCTGGTGAATAAGCATGGCGTAGTTTACTAAGTCACCATCTTGCCTCCCTCGTTAATACCATTCATTATTCCTTTCTCAGCCATCTAAATGCAGCCTTGAGCCCAGCTGTACCCATAATGAATTAGCTCTCCAAGGTAGAAGAATTTATAAGATCCTAGGACTTAGATTAGACCTTAGAAACCATTGAGCGCAACTCTCCCTCTCTGACATCAAAGGAAATGGGCTAAAAGCAGTTAAGCATTAACTAATGTTTAACTAATTAATTAATGTTGTTACATTAAATCATACTTTTCACACAGCTCATCACAGAGCCCAGACTAGATCACACTGTCAGAAATGAGGTGACAGCCTAATGTAGAGCTTATCTGTTCCAGCATGGCTTGGGTAGTGAATCCAGAGTTGAGACCACTTGTTTCTCAGCCTTCATTAGCAGAGGCAGAGTATATAATGGGAGCCCTAGATCTGGGGGCCAAAGGCTCCAGAAGCTGGCTCTCCAGTGTTGCTGGCTACTTAACCATAACTGTGCCTCAGTTTTTCCTTAGCCTTGAGATTCAGGGCTTTGGACTGAGCAGTCTGCCCAAGTTTCTTTCCAGCTTTCACATACTGTTGTTTACTAAGCATCCACTGTTTGCAGAGCATTGTGATAGGGGCTAAACTAGATGCAGAGTTTAAAGGAAACAAAGTCCCTGCCCCCATGGAACTTATAATCTCATAAAGAATAAGACACAAACACAGTTTGCTATAATATTATTACATAAATGCATTAGATACCTAGTACGATGAGATCAGACTGCCTTAATTTCTCCTAGGTCAGGTCTTCATAACATGTCTTTGTCATTTTAGTGGAATTATTTTGGTTTCACAGAACATCAGTTATTACTAAAATACCTTTCAAAAAGAAAGGACCACTTTCATCATCTAGGTTCATTTATCTCCTTTTATACAAAGAAGCACAAGCGTGCATGTACACACACACACACTCCCCTAATTAGTACAAATAGTTGAGAGTGTACAATATTTTGTGTCCCAGATGTAAAAATTGAATAAGGCAGTTTTGTAAACTTTGTTAGCTATGCCAAACTGAATTATGTTTATTTTATTCACACAGGATCAATGCAGTGTCCAACGGACAAGTCCATGGTGATAGTTATAGCGAAGGATGCCTGGGTCAAACAGGTGAGCAGCTAGTGCCAGTCACCTGGCATTTATTTAGAGACCTTTGAGTTAAGAAAACAAAACAAAACAAATCACTGTGCTGGGCACAGAGAGAGATAGAGGGATGTGTAATACAGAGTGCCTGCCATCCTGAAGCCTACAGCATAGTAGGCAAGTTATGGGGTGTGCCCAGACAGCCGATTCTGAACAGAGGGCGCCAGGTACACTGGGGTTAGTGCTGTGAGAGCTGCAGACAGCAGTGGTCCTGACACTCAGAGGACCAAGAAGAAGACAAGTCCGCAGTTTCCTCAGCTCTCACAGGCTGAAGATGCAGGTAGTACTTATTTTTAAAAAGTAATTAATGAGCTTAGATAAATATTTCCAGACTGATTTAGAAGTTGGGAGTCAGAAGGCCAGAGTGTAGGGCCTGGCTCTGCCCACGCCTCCCTGTTACCTGAGGCAAGTCACCTTTCCTTTCTGGCCCTGTTTGCTACAGTGAAATAAAGTAAGTGTGTATGGGGTGGGGGGGGAGATGAAGTTCCTGTGCTGCTTTCCAGGAGATTGTGAAACAACTGCTCTGTGTGTCTCCACTCACGTTTGTAGAATTCTTTGTTGTTTTTAATTAAATTGTAACAGTCTGTGCCTTCATATTTCCGAAAAGTTAGTGTTAACTGTCAGTCTGTTTAATGTTTTACATTAAACTTTAAATACAAAGTGCTGTCCCAGGCCTCCGAGAGTTCATTCGTATGTAGATCTTTTTTATAAAAAGGGTTGGCACCAGTGCTTGTTAATGAGGATGGTGAGGATTTAAAAACCACATCAGTTACCTTTCAAAGAAAAGCTTTGCTGAATGTCAAAGGCTAATTACTTCGTGTTTGTTGAAAGTAGAAAAATGGTCAGCTTACAACATGCTCTTAAATTTGTGTACTTGGGGAAAATGTTCTCACTCTGGGGTATATTTTTCCCATAATTCTCACATTTCTGCTGCCTCTGGTTTATTGCTACCATAATAGTATAATGTAATGCTAAAATTGGTCATTTGAATTTGAAATGTATTTGTATCAATAGAAAGATGTTGGATTTTAGGGCACAGCTCTGGGTAGAGCCTGAGCCTTTGTGGTAATTAATCAGAACCCAGATTCCATGAATAGTGTATATTAATTCACACCTAGAATTTTATGTTTTGGGCAGAAAGCCAGGAATTAACATACAGCCTATCATTTCCTGCTATGCTTTACTGAGTTGTGATACTCTCGGGCACTACTTTTATTAAATACTTGAGCTAATTAAGTGAAGAAACTCATTTATCTCAGAATTCATTTTAGCTAGTCAAATGATTCAATTTATTTTACTTTGTAATAAAGTATGGCAAATATTCATAAATATTATGTAAATGTGACTTAAAAGTTGATTGTCCTCATCTGTTAGTATAATTATAATGCAGCATTCCTAAGTGTCAGCCAGCACTGCCCAATTTGAATTCATCTCACTATCCTAAGAGTGAAAGATGGTGGTCTTTAGATTCACTCATCAATGAATATAGCTTTATCATGGGGGAGGGGAAGGGAAAGGCTTCTGCTGGACATTTTCCTTGCAAAATAAACTTAAATTATATTTTCCACAGTGAATTCTTAAAGGAAATTATCTGTTGGCCAGCCTGAAAGAATGCATGAGCCAGTAGTTTTTGTGAAACATTGTTTGCACTCGACATTTTATGAGCAAGGTTAGGTTGTGGGTGGGATGAGTTTGGAAAAATAAGGATACATTCAGACCTTGGAATGTCCAAGACAGCAAGACGGCCGACAGAATTGTGGAATGGAAATCCTAATTCTAAGGTCTTACAGTTTCTCATCCATTTTAGATCAGGAAAATATTTCCTCATAGCCTTTGATAGCTGATGGGTTTCTTTCCTCCCTTTCCCTCTTCTGGTATACCGCATTTGTGATCAGATCACAAACAAGATATAATAGTATGTTAACAATTTTTTTTAAGGTGCTCGAATTTGGCTGTTCATTGGATTTATGTTGGCCTTTGGATCTCTAATTGCATCTATGTGGATTCTTTTTGGAGGCTATGTCGTTAAAGGTAAAAAAAAAACAGATTTTGGTACAGTTGATTTAGAGGCAGTACCTGGACTAAGTGTTTTATTATATTTGTTTTAATTCAAAAATTGCCCTTAAGTTTTAGGGTGTCAGCATTCTTTCTGGGTGTTTTCTTTGTGGATGGAGGTTTGAAAAGACAATTAAGCCCTTTTTGTCTGTAGGGTCATCTTCAATCCCCCTGCCCCAGATCCTGCTTCCCGGCGTCCTCTAACTCATCACACTCAGTCTTCCTGAAAAACACCCCCCTACACACACATAGAGCAGTTTGAGCTTCCTTTCGAATTGCTGACTGACTCTTTGTGCAGCCCACAAGTTGAAATCCACCCTAGGTCTCCCAGTGTGTCCGTTTGTACACCAAGTATGTCCCCTGGTTATTCCTAAAGGTCCTTCCTGAGGGGTTTCAGAAAAACAAAATAAAGTCTCGTCTCGTCTCTCCTTCCCTCTTCACTCCTGCCCCAGTTCCTCTGATTTTTTTCTTTTTTTTGTGGATACTCCACAGATCTGTTCAAAACCTCAGCCCAGTGTCCCTATAATTATCCCCCAAAATGCTATTTGCCAAAATCCTAAAAAGGCAAATATGTTATTTATTAATGTAGTTCTTCTATGGAAAAAGATGGAAGCGGGGGTGGGCATGAGGACCATTGCCCTAGAGTGGATAAGGACTGGGCCTGTGCTTTCCCTGGATTCTCTTACCCATGCAGGTTAGCACCTTCTGAGTGACTTAGGCTCTTCCCAGTGCCTAAATTACTAAGGTCAGCTGATGGGGATCACTCAGCCAGCTTGGGTCAGAGGTGGGACCTGAACCCCAGGGCTTTATGGCTATGGTGCTCTGCCTCCCTTTCCCAGGACAGTGTCCACTTTATGAGGCCAGAAACGGTTTTGTTTTCTTTTCTTTGTGTCCTTGGCTCCTTGTATGTACCTGGCACTGTGCCTGTTGGCCCTTTTTTTTTTTATTAATTGAATTTGTTCTTTTTCTTGCTTGATGCTTAAAAGCCCAGGGTTTAAGTTCCTTTTACTTCATTTTCAAATGAAGATTCCTGTAAGTGCTGAGCTCTGGGTACCACATTTCATTTTCTTTACCTGTCTTTATGTCCTCAGCTTAGAGAACTTGAAGGATATTCATGTGAACAGTTTTAAAACCCAGAAGCCTAGTGTTGTGTTTTCACAACTGTTGGCATCGAGGTGAGCTCTGATGAGAGCAGCAGGTTAGTGAGCATAAAGGCTCTGCCTTATCTGGCCCTTTGACCATTCCAGACTGAACCTGTACTGGGAGCTGGACCAGTCCTCCCACTGGTCTGTTAATAAAATGGGTTCCAGTGAGATATGCTGAAAATTATTCTGCAAGACAGATGGGGTAGCTGAGCTTTCATGTAGTCATTCTCTGTTCCTCTTTATAAATATGCCAGTTAGGAGATAATTACTGAAAGCATGTGGAAATGAAACTTTAAGGAATTTAAACTGAAAAAACCAGGACAGATCATTCCACATGATTGCAAGAAACTTGGCATTTCCAATATATCAGAAACTACAGATAGTTGAGAATTTAAACTACTAGGAATTTATTGTAAATTATTTTCTTTTCAAATCAGAAAAACCAATAGTGTACCCTGGAATTGCTGTTTTTTTCCAGAATGCATTTATCTTTTTTGGGTAAGTCTTTGTCTAATTGTCTATTCCTTCTGTCTTTTTTAAATGTCTATATTATGTCATTTATTATAATTGCTCCTTTAATTTACCCTCCTGAGAAAATGAGAGGCCTGTGAGAGGACGATGTTGTATGCATCCATTCCATTTAACAGACTTGGTGAGCCTGTCTTAGGCAGCATTTCTATAGTGTAAGCTCCTCTAGGACAGCTTCAGTCATCACTATAGCCTCTTCAGCACCAAGCATAGGATTTTGCTTCTAGGGGGCTTTAGTAAATGTTTGTGGAACTGAGCATATGAATTCTTATTTTATTTACTGAAGGGTAACAATCAAGGTTACTTTTCATGGTAGTCTAGAGTATTTTGATTGTGCGCTGTTTCTCAAAGTGTCTATATTGCTTACTCATCCTGTGAGACTCACTTTGGCCTGTCCAAATTGAAAAAGAGAGTGGAGACGAAGCTCTAACTTGATGCCATCAGAGCCTGCCAGAGGGGCACATGAGGCAGCTGTCATGGGAAGGGCAGCATGGGACAGGAGGGAGATCACCTCCCCCACACTCCCCTAGTTAGAGGCCATTGAGCTACAGAAAGCTTGAGCTCCTTTGATTGAAAGACTGTCAATCACACATAAAGAAAAAATAGTTTCTGGGGATGTTTTGTGTTTTGGTATAATGGTAATTTCACTAGGCCCAGAATAGTAGGAAAAATTGGGGAGGGAAGAACCCTGTTTTGGTATTTTTTTGATTGACACACCAGTTAGTAGGAGATAATAACATTTAGTCCTCATAAAATGTCAGGGCTTTTAATGAAAATATCAGTTTGACTCAGTCCTAGAGTATTCAAGGTTGCTCGTTGACCATGTGCTCTCATCATCAAAAATAATTTTTTAAAATGTTTTCAATTAGTTTTTTAAATTTAATTTAATTTTTAATTTAATCAATTTTTAATTAAAAAAATAAAATGATTACTAGGTTAAAAAAATAAAATAACTGTGCCTTCTGTGTAGCCTTTAGGTTCTAGAACCTTGAGTAAGGGAAAACTTCTAAAGGCACTTTGGCACCTATTTAAGTTACTAATTGGTTGCTCTGGAATAGCTTGTCTACTAGGAGCTAACCCCTGTTTAATTCGGGCCTTCAGGCATCTGAGCATTTTTGATGCAATCTGGCTCTGCCCTTAAAAAAGCCTAGGCGCCCAGATTGAGGCAAGGTGTGAAAATAGCCTTCTCAGGGACCTTTGCAGAGATTCCATCTCCAGCACTTCCTGATAAATGGAGAACCCCACCACTCTGCACCTAAAGATAGCTGTGGCTTTTATGTCTGTGGAAGCTCCTGATCTAAAGGGAATTGCTTGAAGTTCGACAGTTATCATCATCATTACTGACATGTACATAGCAGTTTACATGCATGATCTCACTTGTTCCTCACCACAGGCCTTTGAGGTAAGTTCTACAGGTATAGTTGTCCTCATTGTGCTCACAAGGAGATAACTAATCTGTGTGAGGGGCAGGACTGGAACCCAGGTCTTCTGACTCCAGTCCAACCCACCCCATGCCTGTCTGCAAAAGCATAGAGGCCAGAGCTCTGTTCACTTGACTAATGCAACCCTGTTTGAAGTGCTGTCACTCCACGGCTGATAAAGACATGGTCAACTTTGAAAAAATCATTTCTAAAAAGCACTGTTTGTTAGAGGCCTGTTGGCACAGCCCATTTTGGAAACAGCCTCTTTGGAAATTATTTTCAGTGTCCTTCCCATAACTGAGGAGAGAGGCTGGCAGAGGGAGCTCTGGGAGGAAACTAATTGGCAAGTGTTTGTACTTACGGCTTATGTATTTATGGTTTCTCTTCATTTGAAATTATGGAGTAGAGGCTTAATTTAACTCTTTAGTTTTGAAGAAAGAGTATTAGGTAGCTGCCATCTGACATTAGCTTAATGCTCTTGGCTCCCTACCAGGTAACCAGGGGATGATAAAAAGAACACTGAATTTGGATTCAGAGAACTTGGGACAGCTCTGCCATTTACTGCCCATGTGTTTACCTCGGACAAGTTATTTAACCTCAATAGGCCAAAGTTTTCTTGTGTAAGGTGAGGAGGTCAGGCTAAATATTCTCTAGGTCCCTTCCCACTCTTAAAGGACCCCAGAGTTTGATTTCTGTTTGGAAAGACTCTAGCCTTGGGGAAGGTAGAGGCAAGAGGCAGCTAGTTGAGGGTAGTGAACCAAGTGTTAACTAGGCTTTCTTCACTCCTTTCCAAACAGCAATCTGCTCCTCTAATTTTACTTTACCTGTCCAAAAGTTATAGCTTTAAGACCCTTCCAGGTCATCTAATCTAAGCTCATTTGTCAAGAGAAAAATGAGGCCTAATGGAAAGACATGAAGTAACTTTCTCAAGGTCACATTTCCAGTTAGTGGCAAAGCCAGGACTAAAACCCATGTCTTCTCATTTCCAGTCCAGAACTGTGATCCCCTAAGCATCTGAAATAGATCAGATCACTTGCTTAAGTTAGCTGAATGAATGAGTTGGAAACCATTTGGTTGTTTTCTCATGAGCCACTGTTGTGCTTATGAACTCAGAGACCAAGCAGGTGTTGGGGGTGTGCCACGGGCTGATTAAAATGGGAAAATTGGACATTACTTGGCATTGCTATCTTAATACTGTTTCATATTGCTTATCACTCTGAAATGTAAAAGAGCAAGGTTCAAAAATAACTTGCAGTTTCCACTTCAAAAATGTGAGCTAGCTAAAACTGTCAGAGTGACCACCTGATAAATTAAGAGCATGAAGAAACCAAGTATATCACCCTTGAGCCAAAAAAAAAACCCCACAAAGAAACTGGTAGTCACAAATTTCAGCTTATGTGTTTTGCCTATAAAAGTACAGAGAGCATTCTTAACCATGTTACTCTCAGGACCACTATCTAAATGTGGCCTTGATGTTTACAGCCTGACACAATAGGCCTACTAATCCGAAGAGCTGAATGCTATTAGAATTGCCTTCCTTGCCCACCAGAAGTGCCAGTGCCACCCAGTCACTGGTGGAGATCTTATCCTGACTGCTCTCCTCAGAAAGCAAACTTGGCGGTTTTTCATCGATGACTGTAAGGTGGACACGTTGATATATGTAAACTTACTTCTTGTAAACTTACCTCTTGGGAGCTCATTTCCTCTGTTGGGCTGTGAGCCTCTTGTGGACAAGTACTGTGTCTCAGCCATCTTTGTTTCCCCCCAGTACCTAGCATGAGATTTTGTACCTAATAAGCAAAATCATGTTAATGTTTGTGGAACTGAAGCAGTCTGAAGAGAGTACATAAAGTTAGGATCACACTTTACTACATTAAGTGAAATAGATTTAAAAGGTAGTGCTTTGGTTAAGTTTTGTTAAATACCTTTCTTAAAGAAGCGTGTGCCCACTGTGCTCAGACCTCCACTGGAGGTGGTGTTGCCGTTGAGCCTTACTTAAGAATGTGACTGAGAAGTAGAGAACGTCTGTATCTTGAATGTACTGTCCCTTCTCCCGGACTCAAGCACTCAAGTCATGTTTTTTTCCTTGTGTTAACAGAGGCCTGGTCTTTAAGTTCGGCCGCACTGAAGACTTATGGCAGTGAAGAGGCCCAATTCCCCTCAGAAGCCCTGCTCGGCACTTACGTTGTGCTCTGTTTTTATAGCTCACTCCCAGTCTTTTGTAATACCATTTATAAACTTTGCTGAATATCCTCTTGGGTGAAAAGTGACAAGTTGGTTTAAAAAAAAAGTGGTGAAAGTGGTGTCATAAGAGACTCAGAAAGTTACAGAATACTCCAAAATCATGAACTGAGGAGGGGTATGTGTGTGTGTATATATATATTATATATATATTTCTGTCAAGTTAAGTAAGTACTTGATTCATTTAGGAAGTGTTAATGGAAAATATTTTACCAAAGTCACTTTGGTCAGGTTCTGTTATGATGTAACTCATTTTAGAAAGTAAGTGAAAGAACAATCTGGGGAAATAATTATGCGTGCATATGTATTTGGCATCATGTCTAAGGTCAAATTGCAATTAAAAGTGCTTTAAAAGATTTAATATATTTATTTAAATGTGGTATCTTCTGTGTCAAATATTAAACTAAATATATAAACATTTCCTTGTTTTCTAAAGCTGGCTGGTGGTCAGAACTCTTTCTCACTTGTTCAGTTCCCCAAAGAAATTGACTCATTGAAGGTTAGAGCTGGACAAGACCTTATTGTGTGAGATATCAGAAAGGGAATGTCCCCCAGAAGAGGCTGCAAGGGTGGAAAGGGACCCTCCAATACTCTAATCATGGGAACCCAGACTTAGAGCTGGAAGAGCTCTCAGGGTCCATCATCTAGTCTCCCTCTCTGCCATTTTTAGATGGGGGAATTGAGGCTCAGGGGGGACTTAACTGATGTGCCTATTTAGGGAGTAAGAATCAGAAGTGGGATTTGAATCCAGGCCCTTGGACAGTGTTCTCTGCTCTGTACCTTGCTGCCATCTACTCTCCCCTCCCCTGCCCCCACATACTCCTCATCATTAGAGGAAACTGGTCCAAAGATGTGCCTAGACAGGGCTAGTGGTGTCCAAGCTGGGACTGGAACCCAACTTGGGCTTCTGGCGCCGATACCACACTGATTTTCAAACTGTTGTTGATTGATTCGAAGGGATTTTATGTGAAAATGTCCACCTTTAGGATTATCTGTCTATTGTATTTTATCAAGCCAGGTTCTCTGCATCTCACCCAGGCAGAAGATCAGCAGTGACTCATGGGCCTGATCCCAGTCCTGACAATGGGCACAGAAGCTTTAACTTGCTCTGTGTTTCCAGCCTGACCTGGTTTGCCCCTCCAAAAGGCACCTAGGCAGGCTGCTGGACTTCCCAGACTCCCTCAGTCCGCCTGCTTCAGCCTCCCCAACAACCGGGATGACTGCTGCTGCCCTGCCACCCCTCCTCTCCTTCCCCCTCCCCCATTAGGATGACCAAAGAATGGAAAGAAGAGGACAGCCACAGGCATCCACCAGCTGGCTCTTCACACTCTCGCATTGCCATTTCAATTCTTCAGCCATTTTAAAAAGTGAAACTAACACTTCTATGAGACCAAGAAGTGGTAAAGGTCTCTATGACTCCAAATGCATCCTAGCAGAAAAAGGAAAAAAAAAATAGAAGGAACTGGATCTTAGAATCCTAACTCAGGTGAAACTGACTCCTGATCAGCAATGGAATTGGATTGTACAATTTTATTTACTTTTATGAAGACAGAATCACTCTGATACCAACTGTAATTATCAACTTTAACTCCAGGTAGATTTCACAGTCTGATCCTCCTGGGGACTACTTTTTAAAATCCAGAATGTTACAGCTGGAAGAGCCTCCAGAACATAGAACATCTCAGTGAAAGGGATCTGAGAACTGAAAGGGAATTTCAAACATGGAATTTTGGAAGGGGCCTCAGATCACCTTGGACAGTTCCCTCATTTAACAGAAAAGGGATGCCTAAAGACCCAGAGAGGAACAGTGATTTGTCCATGATCATACTGTGAGTAGGTGGCAAGGTTGGGACTAGAACCCAGAATTCCTGCCTCCTAGTAAAGTGCTTTAGTTCTCAAGGCCATAAGAAAAGAACTACCAATGTAGCTAGGTGGCGCAGTGGATATAGAGCACTGGCCCTGGGGTCTGGAGGACCTGAGTTCAAATCCAGCCTCAGACACATAACACTAGCTGTGACTCTGGACAAGTCACTTAAACCCAATTGCCTCAAGAAAAGAAAAGGACTACCTTATTAAGGTAACTTTTTGTTGTTTTGTTTTTAATCCTGACCTAATTCATCCTCCCACCCATTAATCTCTCTAGCCATCTTCTATCTTCCCGCTACCCTCCCCAGCACCCCCAATTCTCCCCTTGGCCAAGGTAAACTATTGGAACATAAATCAATTTTAACAGTCTAAATTATACCTAATTGGGTAAAACTAGAAATAATTATTCAAGAGCTAAATATAAAGGATTTTTTACTAAACCTCTATTTCTCATTGCTCTGATGAAAGACTATAGAATCCTTTTTTGAGCATGAATAGAAAAGACCCTAGAGCACATCACCTTGGTAAATAGTTGCATTTACCAAATATCTCGAAGGATAGAATGTGGCATTTCATATCCTGTGGAAGAACACATTCTGTCGTCCTGAATAAAGCTAACCAGGTTTTTCATAAATTATTGTGGCTTAACCATACAAGAGTTTTTAGTTTTATTAGTATCAAAAAGTTGCCCAACCATGTTTCTTCATACATTTGTTAGAAGGAAGAAGAAATAATGGTAGTTTTCTCTGGCACCCAACTGGTCTTCCATTTCATGAGTCCATTGGCTTAAAATCCAACAGCCAAATGGGGAAACTGTAAAGGAAAGAAAAAAAGTGAATGGGCATTTTCCTTCTCATGTATGTCCATGATGCTTGCAGTTGGATCTATTTTAATATACAGTGATCTAAATGAAGTGCCTTGACCTTCTTTTTTGGCCAGATGTCCACTGTCTCAGCTTGGTATTAATAGATGATGACCCTCTCCCTCCACTGTGCCCCCAGAACTGCACCAGACAGGCTTCCAGCCAATCTGAAAGGGGGGTGGGGTGGCAGACTGCAGAGAGGCAACATCAACATCATATACATGGTAGTCCAGGCTGTCAGAGCCGGCAGGGTCTTTAGAACATGCAGTGTTGGGCCTGGAAGGGGTGTTTGGTAAATCCTATAGAGCCCTTCTCAGAATCATGTTTTAAATGTATAAAACACATAAAATTACCAAGAAAGGCAACTACATAAAAATGCAGTTTATTAAAATCTTTTTAAAAACAAGTTTATGAACCTCAGGTTAAGAGCCCCTGATCTAGACTGATCCCATTTTGCAGATGAGGAAAATGAGGCCCATAGGGAAAGCGACTTGGCCAAGGTTCTGTATAGGTAGCCAGCTCATGGCAGGGCCAGGTCTCTCGTCTCCCCTCCTCACCACCACCACCCCAGAACAACACACTTTGCCCTGAATCACGCTGCTTTACTCAAATGGCATCGAGGCTGTACCACTTTGCATTTCCTGGGTAATGGCCTCGTTCTGTCGTCCTTGCATTCACGGTTTTCCTGGAAGCCATGTTGTGAGAGCTGGCAATTCACAGAAGAGCAACTAGGGCTTGGACACATTCTGTTTTCATACCAGAGTAGGAGCAGTTATTTATATTCCTCAGCAAGAACATTGTTTCCAAATAGACTGCAAATGCATATTCAGAAGCCGTGGAATATTGTAATTCTTTCAGAGAATTTTAAGATGGGATGTTCTGGTCCTGTCCTGTCCTCTCCCACCATAAAAAGTCGAAACTAAGGTGGAATGGGAAAAGATCATTGGCTTTGGAGTCCAGGGACCGGGTTTTGAATTTCAGCCATGCTGTATAACTTGAGGGAGGTAAACCCTCTAGGCCTCACTTTTCCTCATCTATTAAAAAAAAAAAAAGAGGGTTGGAGTAGATGATCTCTGAGGGCCCTTCTGGTTCTAACCATGTGTCTGTGCCACCTGCCTGTATTTGGTCAAGTCATCAAGCATTTATCAAGCACCTACTATGTGCCAGGCACTGTGCTGAATGCTAGGGCTACAAAGACAGTCAAGGAGCTCATGGGGCAGAGACTACATGCAAACAACCATGTGCATAGAAGGTGTAGACAGGATAGATTGGAGATTGGGGGGACCAGGAAAGGCTTTGGCAGAAGATAGGCTTTTAGTTGAGACTTGAAGGAAAGAAGCTAAAGAGGTAGAGATGAGAGATTGAGGCACGAGGGAGCATTCTGTAAATGCACACAATCAGGAGAGGGAGGGTCTTGTCTGGGGACCAGCAATATAAGAGCAGAGAGGCAGGAGGCGGGAGTAAAGCATAGAAAGGCTGGAAAGGCCAAGTTGTAAAGGGCTTTGAATACCAAAGGGGGGGTTTTGTATTTGATCCTGGAAGCAAAGGGGAGGCAGTGGGGTTTATTGGGGTGCCCTGGTCAGCCGTGCTTTAGGATGGAGTGGAGTAGGGAGAGACTTGTGGCAGAGAAGCAAACCGGAGGCTATTGCACTAGGAGGGAGGGAAGAGAAGGGAATAAACATTTGTTAAGCACCTATATGTACCCAGCACCATTCTAATGGCTTTACAGAGTTCAAATCTGGCCTCCCACCCTTACTATGTGACCCTGGGCAAGTCACTTAACCTCTGTTTGTCTCAGTTGCCTCAGCTGCTAAATGGGGATAATAGCACCTGCTAGGGTTACCATAAGGATCAAATGAGCTAATACTTGTAATAATAACAGCTCACAGAGGTATAGAATTGGGAGTTATTATTGGTACAGTCATCTCTCAGGGATCCATTCTGCTGGGCAATCGGTGCAGGACATGGTGAATTGCTACAGGGAGGTGACTTCTTATGCTTCCAGTCCTTTGGAATGTTTCTCGTTGTCTCCAGGGGACTCTCAGCTCTGTAGCAGGAGGAGCTGCCTGGTGGGAACCACTACCTAACTCGGCATGTTTCAGATTGCAGCTGGCTAGCTGGTTCTATTTTAGAAGGCAAGAATCAAAAAGACCCAACTTCCAAATAAGGTTGTGTCATGTGTTATCATCTCTCTGATCCTTCCCCGTTCTCTGCTCAGCCATTCATGGGGCTGGCTACTGCCCATAATGCAGGTCCTCATCACCTCTTATTTACCTGGATGACAGGTATACCTTGTTGCGCTTCTCAGGTACTGCATTTTTTTTTTACAAATTGAATGTTTGGGCAACCTTGCATCAAGCAAGTCTGCTAGTGCCATTTTTCCAACAGCATGTGCTCACGTAGTGTCTCTGTGTCACGTTTTGATAATTCTCACAATATTTCAAACTTTTTCATTATCATCACACCTGTTGTGCTAGTCTGTGATCAGTGATCTTTGATGTTAGTATTGTCATTGTTTTGGGCCATCACAAACTGCACTCATATGAGACAGTGAACTCAGTGAATGTTGTATGTGTTCTGACTGCTCAAAACTGCTCCTTCCAGTCTCTCTCCCTCTCCTCAGGCTTTCCTAGTCCCTGAGACACAACAATATTGAAAGTAGGCCAATTAATAACCCTGCAGCAGCCTCTAAGTTTTAAGTGAAAGGAGTCCATTGATGAGACGTGGCACACTTCATCTTTGCCTATTTCAAGAAATTGCCACAGCCACCCCAACCTTCAGCATCCCCCCACCCTGATCAGTGAGCAGCCACTGACATCGAGGCAAAACCCTACGCCAGCAAAAAGATTGTGACTTGCTGAAGGCTCGGATGATGGCTGGCATTTTGTAGCAATAGAGGATTGTTTTAATTTTAAGGTACATACATTTTTTTAGAAGTAATACCACAGCACGCTTAATAGACTATGGTGTAATGTAAACATAACTTTTATACGCGTTGGGAAACCAAAAACTTTGTGTGACTTGCTTTATTGTGATGAACACACAATTATATCCAAGGTATGCTTGTATTCTAATAGTCTGATCAGTCTCCTGGCTTCCAGTGTCCCATCCTCACCCCTCAGTCCATTTTCCATACAGCTGCCTATCCAATGCAACCCAACATTCATTAAGTTCCTACTGTATGCTGAGCACAGGACTAGATGTGGGGGACCCAAAGGAATAAAATAAACCAGGCCCTGCCCTCGGGAAGCTTTCATGGGGGGAGTTGAGGGAGAGCTAGAGTGGAACAGAGATACAATATGTAAGCAAAAGTGCGAACAGCCAGATACATGCAGGATAAATTGGAGATAATCAGCAGAGGGAAGGCACTAGTGTTAAGGGGGTTCAGAGAGATGTTTGTTGATTGACTCATAGAGACACATAAGAGGTTTCACTTGCAACTCAACAACTATTTACCAACTAGGCAACAGTGGAATCTTGATATATATATTTAACCCTTTCTCCCTCCACCTTTTTATTTACTCTTGTAAGCTTCATAAAAATGGATATACCTAGAGAGCCCAAGGGCAGCTAGGTGAGGCAGTAGATCACACACCAGGCCAAGAGTCTGGAAGACCTGAATTCAAATTCAGCATCAACACTAGCTGTGTGATCCTGACAAGTCACTTCACCCTGTTTGCCTCAGTTTCCTCATATGTCAAATGAACTGGAGAAGAAATGGCAAACCTCTCCAGTATCTGTGCCAAGAAAATCCCGAATGGGGTCACGAGAGTCAGATACAACTGAAAGGACTGAACAAGAGGGGATCTGCTTAGATTATGAGGTGTACAATGTTTAAGGCAGGGGGGAAGCTTGGAAGAAAGACTGTTATAAGACAATGTTAGAGCTAGATGGAAAGCACCTAGAACAGAATGCAAAAAAAATTAGAGAGCTAGACTAGAGGACATAGAATGTTAAAGCTGGAAGGGCCCTTCGTAAATAGAATGCTATGACTGAAATAGACCCTGGAGTGTCAGAGCTGTGAGGAAGCTTAGGAAACAGGACCTTGGAACATAGAAGGATGGCCCAGACACAATACAAATGGCCCATTGAAAGTGACTTGGGGGTGGGGGGGTGGCAGGTAGGTGGTGCAGTGGATAGAGCACCAGCCCTGGATTCGGGAGGACCTGAGTTCAAATCCAGCCTCAGACACATAACACTTGCTAGCTGTGTGACCCTGGGCAAGTCACTTAACCCCAGTTGCCTAGCCAAAAAAAAAAAAAGGAAGAAAGAAAGTGACTGGAGTGGGGCAGGTAGGTGGGGCAGTGGACAGAGCACCTGCCCTAGAGTCAGGAGTGACGCTGGGCAAGTCACCTAATCCTGATTGTCTCCTCCTACCTCACCCCCCAAAAAAAGTGACTGGAGACCCAAAGATGAGAGATAGGGAGTCTCACCTGTTTGCAACTTTTACAGTAGGTTCATTGAAGGACTTACCTCCCAAAAAGCCTGGTCATCGAAGTATTTCGCTTCAGGTGGTGCCTTCCATAGGTTGAGACTTAAAATTAACCTGTTTAAGAATACACACCGAAAGGTTAACCATTGCTTCTAGGTGGTTTCGTATCTGTCTTCTCTAGATCAGTCAAAATATTGAATTCCCCCAGGCAGCGCCTCGGTGGGGAGCTCTGTTTTTTGCCCTCAGGTGTCCCAGGAAAAAGCCCTGGCTTTCCTGGGTTTGGACTAATTGCTTCTAAAAGGAGCTGGCAAAGGCAGTTGTCTAAGAGGATTTGAATTACACCTAAAGGACTTTGGAAGGTGTGTATCTGACACCCTTCCAAGACAAGATACAAAAAGTTCTTTTTGGAGGATGGACCATTTACAAGTTGACCCATTTAAAAGACAAGACAAATTTAAATGAAGCCACTTTATCCTCAACTTCTTTACTGAATCTGGAGCTGATCAATGTAGAGATCCCCAAACCTTCCCCTAGGCCACCCCTGCTGGGCCTTCAGTCTAGTCCTGCACAGTTGTCTGTAAATGCTCCATAGAGCATTTACCTGCCCCACCAGAGGCTTTCCTCTGATCCTTTAGATTCCTCAGGGCACCACTGAAGTAGGAGGCCTTTTCCTTGTCCTACTGTTGGGCCACCTCCTTTCCCAGTCATATATATTATCTCTGATACCATTTATACTCCTTCTGTGAGGTAAGGTACGATGGGGGAAATACTACACCCTACTTTGATCTGTTGTACGTCTTTCCATTGTTCATCAGACCATACAAGCATAGGGACCTTTGAGCTAGAAAGGACCTTTATTTAGGGGTCATAAGAGCATAGGCTTTGGGCTTCCTTCAAGGCTCAGCTCAAAGCCCACCATCTACAAGAAGCCTTCCCCAATCCCTCTTCATCTTAGTACCTTGTCTCTGTTGATTATGTCTCCAAATTGTATCCTATCTTGTTCATCATAGCTGTTTGCACGTAGTTTTCCCCGTTAGACTGTAAGCTCCTTGAGAGCAGGGACTGTTTTTTACCTTCATAGTCACAGTACTTGGTATATAGTAGGTGCTTCATAAATGCTTGGGGGTTGACTTGATCATAGATCTTGCGCTGGAAGGTTACCTTACAGGTCATCTGGTTCAGTGGTTCCCATTCAGTGGTTCACAAGCCCCCAGTGAATCCATGATGAGGTCTAAGAGGGTTTACTCTAAAAAGTCTTTAATGGAAGAAGGAAGCTCCTACCACATACCAGGCACAACTCTGAGCACTTTACAAATGTCTTCTCATTTGATCTTCACAATAATCTGGGAGACAAATGCTATTGTTATCCCTGTTTTACGCGTGAGAAAACTGAGGCAAACAGATGAAATGATTTGCCCAGGATCACATAGCTAACAAAAATCTGAGGCTGAATTTGAACTCAGGCCTTCCCGACTCCTGGCCCAGTGCTGTATATGCTGCCATCCCTACTTGCTTCCATAGAAGTCGGATCACCATGTCATACCAAACCGTATTGAGTCCTATACCCAGAGCAGCCTTTGGCCTCCTTGTTTTCAGTAGCCTGAGTTACAGAGACTCCACTTAAACCTTATATGAGGAGAGAAAGCATTTCTAAAGAACTTGCTTCCTGCCCTGCCACTCTCATGTCTCAGGCTGGTTAACCCTATCTCATTTCCCAGGTTTCCAAAACCTGCCATTTTCCCAGAAGAGGTCCACCTGCCATACTGGAGGTTCTCATTTTCTCCAGACACAGCAAAGTGCTCTCGAAGGAGCACTCTGGCTGTCCACCCTTCATCCTGGCCGGTTCATCTTTTCTTCCTGTCATATGATTCCATGATAACACTTTTAACTCCCATTCTTTGGAATTCCCTGTTGGTTTTGTGCTACAGCCTGCTCAACCCCGCCATGGATTCTTCCATCCCCCTTGGTGTGTGATATTCATTGTTAATTCTTCAAAGACAGTTGTATTCCATGTTCCATAAATCAACACCAGTGGAATGTTGGTGTTAAAAAGATGGCCCCAGGGGCGGCTAGGTGGCATAGTGGATAAAGCACAGGCCCTGAAGTCAGAAGGACCTGAGTTCAAATCCGGCCTCAGAACAGACACTTGATACTAACTGTGTGACCCTGGGCAAGTCACTTAACCCCAATTGCCTTAAAAAAAAAAAAAGAAAAAAAAAAAGATGGCCTCTTTCTTTCCTGGTAAAGCTTGGGGACATTAAAGGAATTTCTCAAAGGCAATCCTTACTACTCTCCTTATAGTGAATGTCTGCTGTCTGTATTGCTACGGCAGCTGCTATTATTATTATTACTACCCTCCACCAAAGTTGTATGCTTATGTCAGCTGCTGTTATTATTGCTATTGTTATTCTCTCTCCACTGAAGTCCGACGGCTGATGCTAGCTGTTGTTACCATTGTTATCATAACTGCTATTCTTTTTGCTGTTAGCGCTGCCCCACCATTGAAGTTCTATGTTTATGTCTCATTGTGTTGTAAAGGTACCCTTTTTGTCAAAGGATTCTCAAAGGTTTTACCGACTGAGTTCGAGGTGCTAGAAATCCCCCGGTCTGGGGAGGTTCTCAGCACGGGCCTGGAAAGGTGCCAGGTGCTTACTTTCTTAAAGCCAGCCTAACTAAGCCCGGAAACATTCATCCGTAGAGTACTGGACTCTGGATAACATTTTTTGGCCACAGTAACCCATGAAGCGATCTCCTGAGACATAAAATAGGTTGGGTTCTCTAAGGTGGTGGAAAGGCCCACCCTGATGGAATCATAGACCACTGAAAGGATTTTTTATTTTTATTCTTAATATTTTTCTTCCCCCAAGCCTTCCTCTGATATGTCTAGAACTTCCGGCAATGGCCTCTTGCTAGACGGCCAGTAGTACCTATTTCCCCTACACTGTCCAAAGCTGGAAGATGCCTACAAGATGGCAGATGTGAGACTCAGGAACCTTAAATGGGATAAGAGAGGTGGCATAAGATGTGTATAACCAAGGGACTTTTCAAAAGGTAGCAGCAAAGCTCTTCATCTCTTTCCACCTGTCAGATTCTCATCTTTCCCTCTTCCCAGGGTTTGACCTGGCAGTGTGCACTTAGTAAGTGGTCAGTCTTTTCATCTGACCGGTGCCATGACTCTGGGAGAGACAAAGAAGAAGGAAGCTAACAAGCCCCTAAGGCTATTAAGCAGTGGGGGGGGGCCCTCTTGGACAGACAGGCTCAGGGGCTCAGATTCCCAGATGGTGTCTCTAAAACCCCTAAGATGACTCAGAGAAAGATATTTGCCACATTCTGGAGGGCATCTGGCTTATGTGCCCAGTGGCAGGCTTACCTAGCATTTGGTTAGGAGCTGAGAGCAGTTCCTAAGAGAACTGGTGAGACGAGTTTTCCTTCTCCTGTGATTCTGGTATCAAATGGATGCTTGGAATACTTTGCTCCTGAGGTGTCCCAAAAGTCTTAGTTCAGTTGTAAGCTTAAGGATCTGTAATGCTTACAGCTGCACTAAGACTTTTGGGACATTTATATAAAATGTGTATATATGATAGATATAGGTGTATATAATGTATATGTATAACAATATATAAAATATGATATAATAGATGATAAAATATATGTTGTGTTATAAAGTAACAATAATAATATACTGTACACACACACACACACACACACACACACACACACACACACGGCAAAATCAAGTTGATCTTTTTGAAAACAGAAGAAAAAAGCCAGTGAGGGTCATACCGACCTGTCAGAATACCTCCTGCCAAACCCATAGCCACAGATAGGCTGAGACTGCCAGCTGAGTAGAGGATCTGGAAGCCAACCCTGAAGGGGACAAAGTAGATGCGTTCACACTCAGGTTTCAGGCAGCCTCACGTTTCCCTCAGTGTCAAGAGAAACACTGTTTGGTTGTTTTCGCTGCTGATGTATAGATGACCCATCGGGATTAGGGGCTGGGTGTGGGGTAAGGAGGGAGCTGGCATCTTGACATTTCCCATTCCTTAAGCCACGAATAATCGGGACTTGGGGCAGGGTGGGGGGGAATTCCCCTTAGGGAAACCAGCAGAGTTTCTGATTTTGTTCTCCTGTTGACAAACTTCTGGTTTTAGGTGAGGGTGTGCGTGTGTGTGTGTGTGTGTGTGTGTGTGTGTGTGTGTGTGTGTAAGTGTAAGAGACAGTTTATGACTAGTAAAAATCTGAGGCAAGATTCAAAGCCAGGGCCCCTAAGTCCAAGGCATTGGCTTGGAGCCCTGGCTTTGAATCTTGCCTCAGACTCTTACTAGTTCTGTAACCTCAGAGCCTCACTTTCCCCCTCTTTAAAATGGGGATAATATTGATGTCGTGGATAGATCTCCAGCCTTGGAGTCAGGAGGACCTGAGTTTAAATGTGGCCTCAGATACTTGGCACTTAATGTGTGACCCTGGGCAAGTCACTTAACCCTGATTGCCTAAGCAAAAGAAAAAATAAATAAGTTAAAATATAAAAAAAATAATATGGGGATAATAACTCTTGCCTCACCTACTTAGAGGTTGTTATGAAGATAATCACTTCACAATCCTTAAAGTGCTTTAGAAATACAAGTTGTTATTATCATTGGTGTTGGAATGAACCTTAATGATTATAGTCACTAGCTCAACCCCTTCATTTTATTTCTTTATTTCTTTATTTTTAATGTTAGGCAATTGGGGTTAAGTGACTTGCCCAGGGTCACACAGCTAGTTAAGTGTCTAGTGTTTTGGTCTGAGGCCGGATTTGAACTCAGGTCCTCCTGACTTCAGGGCTGGTGCTCTATCCACTGCGCCACCTAGCTGCCCCAACCCCTTCATTTTATAGAGGAGAAGGGAAGTGATTTGCCCAAGGTCACACAACTATGAAGTGTCGGGGCTGGATTTGAACCAGGTCTTCCTACTACACCAGGCTGCCTCAGGTGGATAAATTCCCTTCTGATTCTCAAATCTAAGATTCTGTGATCGTGTGGATTTTCAAAGCCACAGAAGAGTGCTCATCCTCTGGGTCTAGCTGTGTTTTATGCCTGAGCGGAGCATCTGTGAAGAAGACCGAGGACCTACGTGGAGAGCTTGGTCCAGCTAGCTTGCTCAATCATCAGCAGAATGTAGGCGAGTCCTCCCAGCAGCCCCGGCAAGCCGAAGGTAGAATGAACTTCACAGGTGTCGTGAAGCCCAATGATCCGGTTAAAACATCCCTAGGAAGAGAAAAATGATGAGGGCCATATCCCTGGTGAGAGTGGAGAGTCCTGACCTACCTGGGTCACATCTCCTTAGACTCACAAAGTCACTCGGACTCCCTGCCTAAATTTAGCCTTCTCTACCCCAGGTCTGTTCTGGACACTCAAACGGAGTCTGAAGGCACAGGTGTGATCGTGTCACTCATTCCTCTGAACAAACACCTTCAGTGGCTCCCCAGTGCCTATTTTATTAAAGAAGCAGACTCCTGATGCAAAGCAAAGTAAACAGAACTAGGAAAATGATACAGGGGACAGATAGGTGGCGCACTGGCCCTGGAGTCAGGAGGACTTGAGTTCAAATCTGGCCTCAGACACTTGACAATTACAAGCTGCGTGACCCTGGGCAAATCACTTAACCCCATTGCCTAGCTTCCCCCCCCCCCCCCCCAAAAAAAAGGAAAATGGTACAAGCAATGGCTACAGCAGTGAAAATGGAGAGAATAAGGAGGAAGGTTATTTCAGTGGTTTAAAATTATGGTGATGTGTAATCATATCCTATCACTTGCCTTCTCAAAGGAGTGAGAGGGAGAGACTTTGAAACTCAATTTTAAGAAAAATGAACGTTAAAAAATTTTACATGTAATTGGGGAATATTTAACAAAATAAATACAAATGTATTTTTTTAATGTATGATGACCAAGTTTGGTCCCAGAGAAGAACTATGGGAAGGCAACTCCCCCACACAATTTGCAGAGGGAAGGGACCATAGGTACTTCTCATGTCAGACTCTTTCCATGTATTAGTAGGTTTCACCGAATAGTTGTTTCTGCCTTTTTTATTCTTTGTCATAAAGGATAGCTCTCTAGGAAGGGGAAGGGAATGGAGTACACTGAGAAATGTAGGTATCAATAAAAATTTATTTAATTTTTTAAAAACTTGAAAGCACCCAAAAAAGTGAAAATGCAGAATTCTTACCCTTGGCATTCACAGCCTTTTCACAATCTATACCAATGTACTTACCTGTGTGATCTTCAGTGGGGTAATTAACCTCTCTGTGTCTCAGTTTCTTCATATGTCAAAAAGATTATTGGATTCTAGGGTCTCTATTAACTCTAAGATTCTGTAAACATCAACAAAATACTTCTTCCATGAGCATCCAACCTTAAGCCTACAACCTGTTGCACCATTACCGGCAAGCACTTGGCTCCTACGATGGAGATCATGCCTGCAAGAAGCCCCAGCACCATGGCAATCCAAGGTGAGTGGATAAGGTTGGTGGCGACCCCCACAGCGACCCCTCCAGCCAACGTTGCTCTGTGGACATGGATCTGTAGAAAAATAGTTCACACTTGGGGAAACTGAGACATAGAGAAGCCCCAATATTAAACAGCAAAGGCAAGGTTACAAGCTGGTGCCCGTTGTATTTATTCATGCTGTCCAAGCCAACTGGGACTGAGCCAGAAGGCTGAGATCTGGGGGCAATGTTCAGTGACGTCCTGACAAAGAGAAAAATCCCCAGGGAAAGGGGTTTCCATAAGGCTTTACATGCGCTCTTACCATACTGATTTTCCCATGTGGGTGAGCTGCAGCTGAAAATGACATGGCGACCACTGCGCTGACAGCAAGGGCATAATAAGTGTTATATATAGCAGTCTCCTTCTCGCTGGGGTATTCTAGCAGGGCAGAATTGAAGGTTGGCCAGAAGATCCACAGGAAAAGGGTGCCTTGGAGATATAGATGGTAACAGAAAGTGTCAATAGCGAATTCATTTTCCCAGGCTACTAGGTAGATTCAAATATGGAATGTTAGAGATACAAGGGGCCGCAGAACACAGGCTATTGGAAGGCCTTGAGAACCTGATGGGGTGATGGGAGATGGATCCCTAAAAGGAAAAGATCATGTTTTTGAAAGCAACCTAGTCACTGAATTTTCCCATACATTTCAGTAGCCCAGTCACTGGTGCCTCTGTCCATGGTATCTAGTCTACCCCAACCCACCTAGATCACTTAATTAGCTTACTTGACAGTCCTTTCCCTATAGGTCAATTGACCCACCCCAGACTACTTTATTCCTTTCACTATTGCACCTGGCCCACCCCAGACCACTTATCACTCCTTAATCCCATCCAGATCCTTTCCCTGTCTTTTTTGCATATAAGCGTCAGTCCCCATTAAGTTGCAGATTCACTAAGAACCCTGCCAGCTCCTATTGGCTTTACAATAAACCTTGCCACTGTGACTGGAAGAAGGTTTGAGTGCATGAATTCTTTCTAGGCTCTGTATAGGATACCGCTCTATACCTTGACATTTTGGGGTTCCCTGCAACCCAAAATTGCATCAGAACCTTGGAAAACAGAACATTATGCAAACTCCCAAGCTCCCTTCCACCACTCCCTGGCAGTTCTTCCCCTTAGGAAAGTTAGAACTTAAACAGCAACTACCAAGGTGCCGATGGGAAAATTGCCCACTTTACTCTCAAATTACGTGCCCCCTTCCAACCCCCAAATCACTTCGTTGGAAGCAGGCACTTCTTGAGGGTAGACTGCTATCCAGCTCAGTGACCAGTGAGTGAGAGCCCCTCCCCTCTCCATCTTTGCTTTTGGTGGGACAGAGCCGGTGGAACAATAGTACATATACATAATTTATAAATGAATACATAATTTACACATATACATACATACATACACACAGAGACATATACATATATACATATATATGTGTGTGTGTGTGTGTGTGTGTGTGTGTGTGTGTGTATAGGGAATATGTGTTTAGAACATTTTTACTGACAGGGGTATGTGATCAAAACAATTTGGAGACCCACTATGTTAGAATATAAAATGTCAGGACTGGGAGGGGTCTTAGAACAAACAATATGAGACCCAGAAGGGCCCTTTGAATACAGAATATCAGAGCTGGGAGGGCCCTTAGAACATGGAATGTCAGAGCTGGGAGGGCCCTTAGAACATGGAATGTCAGAGCTGGGAGGGCCCTTAGAACATTAAATGTCAGTGCTGGGAGGGGCCTTATAGTTCATCAAATACAACTTCCTCATTTAACAGATGGGAAAAAGCAGAGAGATGAGGTGACTCATCAAGGCCATTTGAAGAGATTCAGAGTCAGTGTCCTTGGCTAAACCTCATGCCTTCTGGCTCCTAAGCTGGAGCTCTTTTCGCTAGGTTCTCTTTTGCATTTGAATAGTACTTTAAATTTTTTCTCTCTTCCTCCAGTGTGGACTTGTCCTAGAAGCACGAGAGAATGACTTGGGAAATGGCCAGCGAGTGTTCCTTCCCACCTAGGAATAAGCTTTGTAGATAATTCCTCCCTCTGTCCTGTCCCCATCATGCATATCCCTCTGGATATATCCAGCGTCTAAACACAACTAAACGGGAGATATTTGCTCCCTCCCCATCCCCCGGTGATGCACTATACTACCCAAGACCTCTCTAAAGCAGTTGTTCCTTCCCTAATAAAGGGGATTCTCAGGTGTGGAAAGAAACACCCCTACTAATCATACCTTCGGTCCATAGGATGGAGAGTTAGGAAGGGACCACAGAGATCAAGTCCAACTCTATCATTTTCCAGATGAACAAACTGAAGCCCAGAAAAAGATGACTTGACAACAAGCACCTACTATGTGCTGGGCAATGTGCTAAGCATTGGGGATAGAGAGAAAGGCAAAGGATGGTGCCTGCCCTCAAGGAGCTCACAGTCAAAGGGAGGGGACGACAAGATGCAAACAACCATGAACATATAATAGACGTACAGATAAATGGAGGGTAGTCAGCAGAGGAAAGGCACTAGCCCTAAGGGAAATTGGGAAGAGCTCCCTCTAGAAGATGGGATTTAAGCTGGAATTTCAAGGAAGCCAAGAGGCAGAGGTGAAGAACGAGTGCATTCCAGGCGTTGAGGACAACCAGTGGAAATGTTCAAAGTCTGGACTGAGTCTTGTTTGAGGAATTATAATGAGACCAAGGTAAAAAAGACATGAAAAAGCTTCTTAAGGATATCACGCCTGTCCCCTGTCCTGATGAGGATTTTCAAACCATGTTAAGCAGTCACTTGCCCCAGTCCGTATTATGGAAAGAGCCTGGCACCCAGACTCAGAAGACTGCCTTCTGATTCAATCTCTGCCCATGGTTTAGTCAGGTGATATATGGGATAAGTCAGTTTCCTCTTCTGTAAAATGGGAACAACAATTCCTGCCCTTGCCTACTTCACAGGGCTCTAGTGAGGATCAAAGGAGACAATACACATGGAAACACAGTTTAAACCAAAAACAGCATAGAGAGGGCCGTTATTATTATTTTTTTTCATTTTCTACATCTTTGTTTTGATGGAGTTCAGATAAAAACAGTCCTGGGACAAGTCGCTACCCTGCTGTTATATGTAATGCCCTGCAGACTATCACGCAGATGGACAACACACCTGCTTTTTATAATTGAATTATATTTAGAATTTAAGCTCATAATCCATAGGCTTCTGAAAGGATATTTAGGATAATTCCAGTAACAGACAGGACAACAGAGATGAGACATACACACACACACACACACACACACACACACACACACACACACACACCCCCTCATCCTCTTCCCATATTTTCCTATATTTTGAAAGCTAAATGGTGCAGTGGGGAGGGTGCTAGCATTGGAACCAGGAAGACCCGAGTTCAAATCCAGACTCTGACTAGATGTTTGACTGTGGCCAAGTTATCCAACCTCTCTCAATGTTAATTTCCCCATCCCAAAAACAGGAATGATGATGATGATGATGATGATGATGATGATGATGATAATGACCCCATCTGTCTCACAGGTTGTTTTGAGAACCAAATGCAATTGCATACATAAAGTGCTTTGAGAACCTTAAAGTACTATAGAAATGCTCGCTGTTATTATTAGCTATTATTATTCCACATCATTTGGAGATTAGAAGTCTTTGGTGTGGGGAAATCAATTAAAGCCCTATTCTTAAAGTGTTATGAATCGTTCATTGTTCTGTCTGGGCAATCGTGAGCAACAATTCTATCTGACTGCAGTGCAATTTGGTGAATTCTATCATTATTATGAATGCTATAATTATTTTCATCTCCAAAATCCCCACTTTCTGCTTGGGCTGTGGCTTTTTACTATTGTACATCCCCTCCCTTCCCTTGGAAAAATATTTCAAGCTTTCCACCCTATTGAGTGCTTAATGCAGATAAGGCCTAAGCTAGAATGAGGGGACAATTTGTTATCAGACGCCAGCACATCTGGTGTCCTGGCTTCACATCAAAACCAATAGAGAGGTAGCCTACCTCCCTGCCTGCCTACTTGGGAATGTGCAAGATTAAAGGAGAAGTCCCAAAAACAAATTGGTCAGGCAGGTTATCTGATGGTGTTGGCAGCCACTAAGAGCAAATTGATTTGTTGTTGGTTTTTTTTTAATGTAGTCAATTTATAACCTTTATTCAAGTTCCTGTACAGTGAGGGTGGGAATGGGAGGTGTCATGAAGAGGCCAGGATGAGTCCATTTACTTTGGCCCAGACATCAGGGCTCACAAATTGAAGAATGTGAATGGATCCCACCTATCAGTTCTCAGAAGACTTTGCCCCTGGAGTACACACACCCCCACCCTGCTCCCATGCCCCCTTCGTGTTCCTCACCCCACTGGTCTCAGGGAACACAAAAGGAAGCACCTCTGCTTGGAGCTACCATAGTCAGACTTCTTTGCCCACAGAAATTAAACCGAAAGGCCCTGCCCAAGCATCTCTCTCTTGCCCAATCTATCATAGGTTGATCACAGAATCACAGAGTTGGAAGGGATGTCAGAGGGCATCTAGTCTAACCCATGTCCTAAACAAGGATCCCCATGACAACATGCTCTACAAGTGTTTGTCCAACCTCCCTTCTGAATACCTGCAGTGATGGGGAGCTCATTAGCTACCTCTCAAGGGAGATTGTCCCAGTTGTGGGCAGTGGGACTCATTGGAAAGGTTTTCTTTATGTTGGACTAAGATTTCCCTCTCTGCAACTTCTACCCATTATCCTAAGAAAGTAAGCTTCTTGAGAGGAAGGGACTGATTCATTTTTTTGTCTTTGTATTCCCAAAGCCTAGTACAGCATCTAGCATACAGCAGATGCTGAAAAGACTTATTAATGGATTGCTTCTAGTTAGACCCTCTGGACCTGGGACCTCTACCTTAGCTAAAACTCTTAAAGGAATTATGAACTGTCCTATGTCAGCACCTAGAACAGTTCCTGGGCATATGGAGTGCTGGTGGTTGACTCGTGTCTGACTCTTCATGGCCCCATTGGGAGTTTTCTTGGCAAAGATCCTAGAGTGGATTGCCATTTCCATCTCCAGCTCATTTGACAGATGAGGAAACTGAGACAAACAGAGTTAAGTGACTTGCCCAGGGTCACCCAGCTAGTAAGTATCTGAGGCTGGATTTGAACTCAGGTCTTCCTGATTCCAGTCCTGGCTCTCTATACACTGCACCACCTAGCTGCCCTGGGCACCTAGTAGAAACCTAATAAATACTTAGAGATCTAGAGCTAGAAGGTACTTTAGATACCATCTAGTTCTATCCCTCATGTTGCACATGAGGAAAATGAGCCCTGGAGGAGTTAAGTGACTTGCCCAAGGTCCCATGGGTAGTAAAATAGCCGGGGTGAGATTCGAACTCAAGTCTTCAGACTCAAAAATCCATTGATCTTTCCACTGTACCACAGTGCTTCTCAGTAACTATTGATTGATTGATTGATTGCTGCTTTGGATGGTCAGTTATATCAATCAATCATCACATATTTATTAAGCATTTATTATATGCCAGGTGTTGTGCTAGGCAATGGGTTGGCAAAGACAAAAATGAGAGTGTATGTGTGTCTTAGCTCTCTAAAAGGACTGTGAATTCCCAGAGTTCTCCCCTACTGAGTCTTCTTTCTTATCCCCCAAAGGGAAACAAAAACAGAGCTATCCCTGGGACCCAGGAGTTCAGGCTCCTCACCGTCCCCCAACCTAGACTGTAATGGATGGTGTAACTGAACCCTATTTAACAGAACCACACACATAGGCTTCCATAGCCACACATTGAAAAAAAAAAAACAAAACCAAAAATGGCCTGCACACATTTATCTGACAAGGCAGGGCTGTTAGCCAGTGGAGGAAGCGGGAAAAATACATGTTGTGGAGCCAGGAGGTCACAGGTGCTAATCTTGATTCTGCTATAACTCATTTGGGTAGGTAACCTCACCTCTCTGATACAGTTAACTCATCAGTAAAATGAGGGTTGGACAATTCTATGTTATAAGGTAACTGCTGTATTCTAAGGGCCCTCCCAGCCCTTACATTGCATGTTCTAAGGCCCTCCAGCTCTGACATCCTGTGTTCTAAGGGCCCTCTCAGCTCTGACATCCTGTGTTCTAAGGGCCCTCCCAGCTCTGACATCCTGCGTTTTAAGGGCCCTCCCAGCTCTGACATCCTGGTTCCAAGGTCCCTCCCAGCTCTGACTTTCTGTGTCCTAAAATCCCCTTCTAGCTTTAACATTATTTTCTAAGGCTTCTCCCAAAACTGAAGTCCTATGTGCCCATGTTCTAAGACTGCTCCCAGCCCTGGGACACTTGAGCTCCCCACTCAGGAACAGCTGTAAAACATTAATGCTTGCTAAGGACTCAATTACTCCTCCTCCCAGATGTATTTGCACCGTAGGCCTACATAAGTCAACGCTCAACTGAAAAGAATGACTTGGCTGCGTTAATGGTTGAATTTCAGGCACTGAGAGTGAGATATTTATAGACAGGATTTCCCCCCATACTTCAGATCCCAGACTATAGGCCACCCACTGCCTTCCTCTTACCCAGTGTGGTAAACAGACTGGAAGCTGTGGCTCTCTGTTCCTTCTCCTTGGCTGCACTCAGGCCCGGGCCCGAGAGGCACCAGGTCGCGGCCACCCCAAAGTAGGCCCCAAACACGTGGATTTGCATCATGCTCTGATGTTCGTTCCCCTGTAACTCAACCCAGGACACACTTTGAGACCAAGGCTGGTAAATGTGTGGCCAGTTCTTGCCCTGTCCTGGACTGCTTCCCCTCCCCATTCCTATGGCTTAGCTGGTCCAATGCAAGGAATCATTTTCTTGACTGTTTAGTTCCTTAGGTTCTTCCATTCAACAAATACTTGTTGAAGTGAAATTTTATGGACCAAAAGTGGCCGAAGGAATGTGGTGAAGTGGAAAGAATGACTAGCCTGGACATCCAAAGACCAGCATTCAAGCCCCAGCTCAACCACTCCTGTGTGAAATCGGCCAAATCATTTCTACCCTCCTGCCCAGTCTCAGTTTCTTCACCTGTACAATGGAGCTGATAATCATACTACTACCTACCTGACAGAGTTGTTGTGATGAAAACAGTTTAGAAACCATCCAATTCTAGAAGAACATGAGCCAGTATAGATGTGAGGCAGGGATTAGAACCCTAGGCTTTGAGCCTGGGAGACCTCAGTTTAAACCCTACCTCTGATACTTATCACCCATGTCTGACCATGGGTATATCACAGAACACACAGAGACTCAGTTTCTCCATCTGTCAAATGAGGTAATAAAGAATGAGGTCTCTACTCATAAGACTACTGCAAACCACAACTGAGTGATTATTACCCCATTTTACAGATAAAGAAACTGAGGCTCAGCATGATTGGTGACATGCCCACGGTCACATGGGCCAGAAATCATTTAAGTATTTTACAAACTTTGAAGTTTGCTATCAATAACAAGCACTCTTATATATTTCACTTGTAATGACTGCACTTAACAGAAACCAGACAAAATTAAACAGCAACGTCTGCCTGGACTGACCTCAGAAACTCCTCTTTGTCCCCTCCTCCCTCTTTTGTTCTGCATTGCTCTTTTCTTCCCTTCTGCAGTGTGGAGTAGTAGAATAGCATTAGGCTTAGACCTGGAAGACTTGAGTTCAAATCCCACCTCTGACACTTGCTATGTAACCATAGATGAATCACTTAATCTCTGTGACCCCACTTCCTCATCTGTAAAATGGGGATACAGCACCTCCCTCACAGGGCTGTTTTGTTTTGAGGTCAACAAGAAAGTGCTTTGTAAACCTTAAAGCATTATATAAATATCATCATTATTTTATAATCCTTTTCTTCTTTTTTTTGTTTAGGTCTCTTTCTCCATCCTCATAGTAGTCTATGCCTGTTCTTCTTCAGAGATAGTTCCTCCTAATTATTTCTTCCTCTTCCTTTTCCCCCCTCCCTTCTATTCTCTTTCTCTTTCCCTCCTTCTTCTCTCTCTCTCCTTTCTTCCTCCCTCGGCATTCACTCCTGACTGCCCACACCATAGACATGAAGTATATTTTAATAGTTTTTTTCATTTACCAAGTCAGTTCCATAACTCATTCTTAATTTTAAAATTGGGTTAATGGAACCCTTTAAATTTCATAGAGTGTCAGAACTTGAAGTGGTTTTAGAAGATAGAAAGTTAGAGCTAAAAGGAACCTTAGAACATAGATTGTTAGAACAAAACATGTTAGAGCTAGAAAGACCCTTAGAACATAAGATATTAGAAACGTAGAATATCAGAGATGGATACAAACTTAGAACACAGAATGCTGGACCAGAAAGTGTTGGTGCTGGAAGGAACTTTAGAACATAAAATGTTCTAAACATCAGAGAAGGACATAAACTTAGAACATAGAATGCTAGAAGAGAAAGTGTTGGTGTTGGAAGGAACTTTAGAACATAAAATGTCCTAAACATCAGAGAAGGACATAAACTTAGAACACAGAATGCTGAAGCAGAAAGTGTTGGTGTTGGAAGAAACCTTAGAACATACAATGTTAGAAACAGAGACTAGCACAGCTGGATATAAACTTAGAACACAGAATGCTGGACCAGAAAGTGTTGGTGCTGGAAGGAACTTTAGAACATAAAATGTTCTAAACATCAGAGAAGGACATAAGCTTAGAACATAGAATGCTAGAAGAGAAAGCGTTGGTGTTGGAAGAAACCTTAGAACATACAATGTTAGAAACAGAGACTAGCACAGCTGGATATAAACTTAGAACACAGAATGCTGGACCAGAAAGTGTTGGTGCTGGAAGGAACTTTAGAACATAAAATGTTCTAAACATCAGAGAAGGACATAAACTTAGAACATAGAATGCTAGAAGAGAAAGTGTTGGTGTTGGAAGGAACTTTAGAACATAAAATGTCCTAAACATCAGAGAAGGACATAAACTTAGAACACAGAATGCTGAAGCAGAAAGTGTTGGTGTTGGAAGAAACCTTAGAACATACAATGTTAGAAACAGAGACTAGCACAGCTGGATATAAACTTAGAACACAGAATGCTGGACCAGAAAGTGTTGGTGCTGGAAGGAACTTTAGAACATAAAATGTTCTAAACATCAGAGAAGGACATAAGCTTAGAACATAGAATGCTAGAAGAGAAAGCGTTGGTGTTGGAAGAAACCTTAGAACATACAATGTTAGAAACAGAGACTAGCACAGCTGGATATAAACTTAGAACACAGAATGCTGGACCAGAAAGTGTTGGTGCTGGAAGGAACTTTAGAACATAAAATGTTCTAAACATCAGAGAAGGACATAAGCTTAGAACATAGAATGCTAGAAGAGAAAGCGTTGGTGTTGGAAGAAACCTTAGAACATACAATGTTAGAAACAGAGACTAGCACAGCTGGATATAAACTTAGAACACAGAATGCTGGACCAGAAAGTGTTGGTGCTGGAAGGAACTTTAGAACATAAAATGTTCTAAACATCAGAGAAGGACATAAGCTTAGAACATAGAATGCTAGAAGAGAAAGCGTTGGTGTTGGAAGAAACCTTAGAACATACAATGTTAGAAACAGAGACTAGCACAGCTGGATATAAACTTAGAACACAGAATGCTGGACCAGAAAGTGTTGGTGCTGGAAGGAACCTTAGAAGACAGAATGTCAGGGCTGGAGGGAACCTTAGAACACAGGATGCTAGAATGGAAAGAGATTTCAGAACATAGAATATTGGAGCTTAGTCCATGGACCACATTTTACAGATGAGGAAACTGAGACTCCAAGGAAGGGAAGTGACTTATCCAGGGTCACACAATGAGTTAGTGACAGACTAGAATCCAGGTCTTCAAACTGCTAGTTAGGTACTTCTTTCCATTACAGCAAAATCAGTCTTGTGATAGATGAGAATAAAGGTATTGGAAATAATTTGCCCCTACCTATAAATCAATTTCCCTAACAGACCAGCCCACTCATATTTGCTGCCAAGCCATTTGATTTAAGAAGGAACAAATTAGCCACCAAGAATGCCTGGTACCCTGGAAAGAACCCGTTGTTAGAAGCCAAAAAATGATAGGTTCTGCAGCAGAATATGACCTCCTTGAGGGAAGGGACTGTTTCATTTTTGGTTCTGTATCCCCAATACCAAGCACAGTACCTAGAACATAATAGGCACATAATAAAAGCTTGTCAAATGAAATGGAATAATTCCAACTCTGCAACTCCTGACATGACCTTGGGAAAACTGCTTAATAATAATTATTAGATGATATTTGTCATGTCATTTTAAGGTTTACAAAGTACTTTACCTACACCGTCTCATTTCAGACTCACATGAACCCTATAAGGTAAATATTCCAGAGGTCTGAGGCACAGAGAGGCTAAATGACTTGTCCTTGGCCACACAGCTAGGAAGTTTGGGAGGCAGGATCTAAAGTACCAGGTCTCCACTGACTTCCAAGTTCAGTGCTCTGTCCAGCTACACCAAATGGCCTCTTCTCTCCTCTTGGGGCCTCTATTTCCTCCACTATAAAAGTAGAGAGATGGACTAACAAACTAGTAGGGCCCCTTTCAGCTCTAACTTTCAGGGATTCAGTGACGTACATCAAGGAAGGTCAGGGTGAGCTTCTTGGTTCCAAGGAAGGCTGTTACTTCCAGCAAGGTCATTACTATCAGCTGGACCAAGTTGACTTTGCCCAGGGTGGCCCCAGATGAGATGAGGGCAGACATAGCACTCATGGTACCCAGTATGATCCTGAGAAAAGAAAGAGTGAGGATTGAGTTGGGGGACAAGGGTGGGGTGGGAGGACCCAGCATAAAACAAAGGATGCCCCGCTACCTTCATCGTCTGCCTCGATGGAGCAGTCTGTTACTTTGAAAACGTTCTGGATCTCAGGGATCCCCAACCTTTTCTCAGTCCCCATGCCTCTTAGCTTTCAGTAAACTTTCCCATATGCCCTATTCAACATGAAGGGAAATAACATCTAGAGTTTATGACATCTATTCACATAAGAAATCAATTAAATCCACTTGTTTTTTCTTCTCCTAGAATATACAAAAGATTTTATAACTTCATCAGCTGGAAATATTTTCAGAGTTTAAAAAATATTTCAATAGCATAATATAGCTATTTACCAAGCTATTCTCCCTTGATAAGCTTCTGTCACCCTGTGGGCCCTCCAGGATCCTGAGATTTACAGATAATGCAAAACTTTGTGCTCTCAAGTTTAATCCAACTATAATAATAATAATAACTTGCATTTTTGCATTTTTTAAAGGTTTGCGTAGTTTACATAGACTATCTCATTTGATTTTCACAATAATCCTATGAGGTGTTATTATTATCGTCATGTTGCAGATGAGAAAACTGAGGCAGGTTAAGTGACTTGCCCAGGGTCACACAGGTAGGAAGTGGCTGAGAATTCAAACTCAGATCCTCCTGACTTCAAATCCAGAACTCTATCCATTATGGGATTCACAAGACCTACTTATGGGCTATAGGAAATGACATTTGACGAGGCAGTGATGTATTGAGCATTCCAGTGAGTCTGGATCAGATGACCATGAGAAGAGCTTGATGGTGGCTGAAACTGACCCTCCCCATCTGCAGACCCAACAGTCCCACCCAACAATTCTGGGGACACAAGCAGGGGTCCCTGGGCCTGCCCAGATCAGGTACCTTTGAATATTAATGGGGATCTTTCTACTAGAGGAGAACAAGAAGCCATCCAGGATGATAGCCCACTGCACACCGAGGGCCAGGGTGAAGAGGTTGAAGGCCACACTGCTCCATGTATATCTCCTCAAGGAGGCCTTGAGGAAGCCCAGGCCAAGCACCGCCATGACGTTGATATCCTGGAAGGCTTCTCAGGGAAGGGTGCCAGAGGAGGATATATAGACAAGGCACAGGGAGAAGGTCAAATGGAGGGAACATGTTTCAATCTAAAAACATAAATCTTCCTTGCCCATCTCTCCTCACCTGCCCCCTCCCCTCATGCTATCCCCATGCCCAGAGGCACTAGGGTGGTCTAAGTCAGAGGTGCCAAACTCATTGCCCCCAAGACTCTGGAGGGCCAACTGAACCAGGTTAAAATGCAATTGAAAACATTTAACAGAATGAATTAAAATACAGTCAAACAAAGATAATGTTAAATTGTAGTTTTCTAAGCCAATTGATAGTTTCTATTTGTGTTCCATACCACTGGTCTGTGAGATGGACTGAGACTTGGGGAGAGGGGGAGCAGAGAAAGCAAGTACTCAATCAATAAGCATTAATTGTTTACCGTGTGCCAGACTATGTGCTAAGAGCTGAGAATACAAAGAAAAAAAAGAAAAAAATAGTGCCTTCCCTCAAGGAGCTTATATTCTAGTGAGGGAAAATAATGGCTCTAAGGGGTGACATCTCAGAGGGGATGGCTCTCATAGTTGGGGGGACCAGGAAAGGTCTCCTGCAGAAAGTAACATTTAAGCAGAGTCTTAAAGGAAGCCAGAGACCCTAAAAGATGGAGATGAGAACAGGCAGCTAGGTGTCGCAGTGGATAGAGCATCGGTCCTGGAGTCAGGAGGACCTGAGTTCAAATCTGGCCTCAGACACTTGATGCTTACTAATTGTGTGACTCTGGGCAAGTCACTTAACCCCAATTGTTTCACTTAAAAAAAAAAGATGGAGATGAGAAGGTAAAGCATTCCAGGCATGGGAGACAGCCTAGGCAAAGGCCAAGAGACAGAAGATAGGGTTTGGCGGGAGGAGCAGCAGACAGACCCATGTGACTGGCCTGTGAAGTTCTCACAGGGTCCAAGTCCTTCCTCATAGACAACTGACCCTGAGCCTTCTTCCTCACCCTATTGGCCTCAGGTTTGATTGGACCATGAGGGAGAGTTAGAGCCACAGCCTAGGTCCATGTCAGGTTAGGGGAAAAGGTCCAAAGAGCAAGGACTGCCATAAGGGCTGTGGTTCCCAGCAATGGAGACCAGGGCGGTCATTGGAAGAGAGGAAGGAAGGAGTGGAGACAAATGAACCTAGGGCTCCCTCAGCTTCTCCCGGCACCTGAAAGTGTCCTAGAAACCACAATTTTTCTATGGAGTCTGATGACAAGGTGTGGGGAATGAGGAACAGGAAGTGGGGGGCATAAGCTTCTCAAACTGACTAGCCCATTAGATGTGGAAAGAGAACTGAATGGAGAACTGAATTGAACCGAATTGTCTCTAAGGTCCTTTCTAGGCAATCAATCAGCAGGCGGTTATTAAGCACCTGCTATGCTCCAGGCACTGTAAGTAAGAGGTTTAGTTTAGATACGAAGAAAGACAAAAACAAAGGCAAAAAACCAGGGCCTGATGTCAAGGACCTCACAGGCAAATGATGGGGCTGACATTGTATGTTCTTAGAGCCTTTCCAGATCTGAAAGTTTATGGTCTTAGGTTCCTTCCAGCTCTGCCATTCTAAGTTCTGAATTCCCTCCCTGCTCTGACCTTCTATATGCTAAAGACCCTCTCAGCTCTTGCATTCTGTTTCTTAGGAGGCCTTCCAGCACTGCCATTCCATGTCCTAAGGCTCCTTTCTATTTTTCATATTTTATATTCTAAGACATTCAGTGCTCCAAGGTTCCTAACCAGATCTAACATTCAATGCTTTAAGGCAAAGATTCCCAAACTTCTTTGGCCCATTGCCCTCTTTTGAAAAAAAAAATTATTCAGTGCCACCCTGGAAATCTACTTTCTTTAAACTTTTAATGGGTTTTTTAAAAAATTTGCATCATTTCAAAAATATACCAAAAATATTTTTAAATGACACATCTTAAATTTAATAATTTATTTGTGGAGTTTTTCCTGCACTGAAATTTTGATCATGCAATATTGCTTCATGTAATCATATGGTATCGTTTTGTAAACAAGCCATTACATGAACATATTCCTGCTTATACATGCTAGACTTCCTGACAATTCGTGATACAGACATACTCATTTGCCAACACTTGCTTGTTAAGAGCTGTTGGCAGGGCAGCTAGGTGGCACAGTGGATAGAGCACCGGCCCTGAAGTCAGGAGGACCTGAGTTCAAATCAGGCCTCAGACACATAACACTTACTAGCTGTGTGACCCTGGGCAAGTCACTTAACCCCATTGCCTAGCCAAAAAAAGAGACATATTGGCAAGCTTGACCACTTTTGTGAGTACAAAAATTTTAAAGAGGAAGAAATAACTTTTAAAGGGGACCTCTTTCTTACAGGTTCATGTAAATTCCAGAGAACCATTGAGAGGCAGAAGGAGTCACAGGAATAATTCTGGGTAGGACAAGAAGGAGGGCAGGCTCAGTGTGGGAGGGCCTTATCAGACTCTGCAGCTGTCCCTACTCTCAGCTGTTTGGCCAGTAAGGATTCCCCCATGGCCCTGCCTGACATCACTGTAGACCCAGTTAGGTGCCTGGCAAAAATCAGGGATGGGGGATGGGGAGGAGAGGCCTGACTGTGAGTGTCATCCAAGTTTGGTAGGCCCCTATGGTTTCCAAGAGCATCAACCCTCTGTGAACCCTGGAAGGAGAGTGTGTTCCTCTCCTCCCTTCCAGTGCCTTCTTTGGCCTCCCTAGGCCCTCAGAGTCCTCAGGCCACCCCCTGGCTAACTGGGTTTTTTCTCTGTCTCCTGGTATCAGCCGAAGCACCTGACCTCTTCTGCCTTTCTGTCTCTTAATTAAATTGAACCTTACCCGGGTCTCCTCCTTCCACACTGTGCCCTGCTTTCCAAGCGGACTGGCAGCTTAACTGATAATGGGCTCAGCCCCAAGGTGTTCGTGAGTGATAAAGGGCATGGAGGCAACAGCCCCGGCCGCGGAATCAGGAGACCTGGGTGCTTTTCCTAGTCTGGAGGCTTCATTGAGTACGTAGCGTCCACTCCTTTGTCTGGGCCTCAGCTTCAAGAAGCCCCCTTGGAGAGTAGTGGAGAACTGTCAAGCCCAAAAGACCTGAATTCAAATCCCACCACAGAGCAAGTCACTTAACTCCTCAGCACTCTGAACAGCTCTCTTGTATGACAAGTTACAGAGAAAGTGCCCACCAGCACTGGGCAGAGGGGATTTATTCATCCAGGAGTTCCCTGAATCAATTCCAATCCTGAATGACACACATTTAAACGAGGCCTCCTGATACCTAAATTCAAACGGTAATGGGATTTCCTGTGGTGGCTGGGAGGACTGGATTTTAGGAGCAGGGAGTATATCCCAGCACTAAGCCTCCTACTTTGCGTGCAAGGTTAGCTGCTTTCAATGTTCTCCCCCCACCTTCTGCAGTCTAATAGAATAGCGGCTCTTTCTATGATACCTAATTCCTCACCCCCTCCCCTTCCACTCTGCCCTCTGCCCTTCCCAGGTGGGAAGGGGAGAATGGATTTTGAGAGTGGAAAAACACACGATACTGAAAATTCTGCAGGACATTTGGCTTCCTGTCTTAGATCTTCCACTAGTCACTGGTTATTCTTGGGTCAGTCCCTTAACTCTTTGAGCCTTAAATTTCCTCATCTATTAGATGGATAATTGAAATAGATGATCTCCAAAGGCCCCCTCCTGTTCTAATGCTCTATGTTCTTAGGTCTTTTCCAATTCTGACGTTTTATGTTTTATTTTTATAAAGGTCGAAGGATCACAGATTTGTAGATGTAAGCGAACTTAGAGAATGTTCAGCCCACTACATTATAATATGTTACCTTCCAGCTCTTATATTCTATATTTTAAGTTCCCTGAGGTGTGACTTTTCTTTTGGTCTGAGGTCCCTTCTAGCTTTTACATCTGATATTTTAAAGTCCCTTCATTCTATGTTCTGAGGGTTCTTTTAGTTCTGGCACTGAAGGTTTTAGAATCCCTTCTAATTCTATTGCTCTACATTCTAAGGTCAGTATCAGTTCTGATGTTCTATGTTTTAACCTTCCATATTCCAACATTATATGTTCTGGTATTCTAGGTTCCCAGGTCTTTTCCACCTCTGACATTCTATGTTCTAAGGTACCTTTCAGCTCTAATGCTGTGTTCTAAGACTCTTCCCAGTCCTGACATTCTGTATTTTAACCTTCTAAGTTATAAGGTCACCTTTACCTCTGAAATTCTGCTTTAACATTTTATATTATAAAATTTTATGTTCTAGTATTCTATGGTCTAAGGTCCTTTCCAATTCTGACATTCTATGCTCTAATATTCTACAGTCCAAGGTTCTTTCCAGTGGAGGCGTTCTTTGTTCTTCTAACGTTGCATGTCCTAAGGCCTCCACCCATTCAAACAATGTCTGAGTCCAGACATCTTGAGTTCTAAAATCCCTTCCATCTCAAATATTCTATGACTGCTCAGAGGCCCTAATTATTCCTAGGCCTCTCACCCTCTGGGTCCAGGTGCCCTGACTCTGGCATCTGGCCAAATCAGCAAAGCGTACAGATTTTCTGTGAAACCGATTTTTTCCCCTCACACCACCTGCTGCAAACACTTTGCATGCCTGCAGCTGAGCCCTGGAAATGTTGGCTGATTATGTTTCCCTCCCCAATCCCCCCCTTCCAGCGTGACTGAGGTATCAAATGGGCCCTGTCGTCAGCTCTGCAGCAATTGAATTAATATCACTTTTGGATAAACATTTAACCAAATTCAGTCTTGGTTTTCTCTCCCCAAAGAGTGGAGAATGGTTCCTTCATTATCATAAACAACTGATAAATATAAGGAGAAGCCTGAAATTCATCTCAATAAAGAAAAGCATAGCTACCCATCTTGTTTGCTTCTGTTGCACTCAGAAGAGTGCTGGGTAATAACACTGTGCTTCAGAGAGGCTCAACACAGGAGGGGAAAGAGCATTGGACCGAGAGTCAGAAAGCTCTGTCTGGGCTGCTTACTGCCTGCGCAGCGCTGGGCAGCTCCCACGGCATCTCTTTGTGCTGCAGATTCTGCTTCTGTAAAATGGGGGTAGTGATACTTACTCCACCTCCCTCCCAAGGTTAAGAGTGTGACAATCAAATGAGATGCAGAATTTCTTTTTAAATTACTGAACAGGGCAGCTAGGTGGCACCGTGGATAGAGTACCATCCCTGCAGTCAGGAGTACCTGAGTTCAAATCCAGCCTCAGACCAAACACTTGACACTTACTAACTGTGTGACCCTGGGCAAGTCACTTAACCCCAATTACCTAAAATAAATAAATAATAAATTACTGAACGTCAGATTAACAGGAAGAATCATTATTCCAACTATAGGGTTCATAGGACCTCAAAGTTGGGATGGACATTAGAGGATTATCTCATCCAACCAACCAAGAACTGGGAACAGCCCTGGCCCTGGAGTCTGATCACCTCGGTTCGAATCCTGCTGACTCTCGATGATGCTAGACAAGTCACTTTACTTCCTCCAGCTTCACTTTGTTTATCTGAGAAAGCCAAGTGGCAGTTTCATGATTAATTGTCTCCTCATCTGGGAAAGATTTGTTCTTAAAAAGAGAAGAGACAGATTCTTTTTGGGGAAAAAAAAAAGGGACCACCACTGAGGTTGAGAGACATAGGAGACATAAAGTAAGATCAGTAAGGTGAGAGGGCCCTTAGAACAGAGAATGTCAGAGCTGAGAGGACCATTAGAACACACAATATCAGATCTTGGAGGGCTTTTAGAACATAGAATGTTAGGACGGGGAGGGCCCTTAGAACACAGGATGTCAGAGCTTGGAGGGCCCTTAGAACACAGGATGTCAGAGCTTGGGAGAGGGCCTTAGAACACAGAAAGTCAGAGCTGGGAGAGCCCTTAGAACATGGCAGGTCAGAGTTGGGAGGGCCCTTAGAACATAGCATTCAGAGCTGGGGGGGCCCTTGAAACACAGAAAGTCAGAGCTGGGAGAGCCCTTGGAACATAGCAGGTCAGAGTTGGGGGGGGGCCCTAGAACACAGAAAGTCAGATCTGGGGGGACCCTTAGAATACAAACAGGACCAGGAGTTAGGATACCTGCATCTAGTCCCACCTTTACTAACTCACTTTATGACCTCTGACAAATCCTCTTCCTCCTTCACTTGTAAAATGAGAGGCTTGAAGTAGGTGACCCTCAAGGTTCCTTCTAGTTCCAACATTCTATGATCTAAGTTCCTCCCCCAGCTCTATCATTTTCTGTATTCCAAATGTCCGTATTCGAAGATACCTTACAGTTCTAGTACTCTGCTTCATGGTCTATGAGCCTTCAGATAAACTTTGGAGGAAGAAATCAAGGGGAATCTCCCTCCCTTGGGATCTTTAAGATGAAAAGACATCCATCCATCTGGGTGATGTGGAAGGACTAGGGTGGGAAGTGGGCTGCGGAGGGGGTGGGGTTCATCTAAATGAGTGCACAAGCTGTAGAATTGTCCAGGTTTGCTAACAAAAGCCAACTGCACAGCCAACAACACTTACCTGGATATGGCTTCAGAAGCTCCAACTTCTTTGAGGGTGTCTCATAAGATGTGAAAAAGAAGAAAACCAGAATGAAAGCAATTTCCAACATCAGGACCCAGAAAGGCAGGGATATCCTGAGGGACTTTGGGTACTTTGAGCCCATCCTGCCCTCAGATGGACCACTGGACCTAAGGAACTTGTCTTGGGTATAACTTTTGTCCTTTTCCTCCTCTGTTTATCCCCACCTTTCAAAAGGCAACAATTTTGTGCAGCAGATAAGGCTGGAGATCTGGGGAGGTCTTAAGCTCCATTAGCTGTTATCTCTGACCAGCAATGGGTCTGTGTCTATTGAGTTAAGATAGCAAACTAGATTGGATGCCAGTGTCTTTGGAGGCCAGAGTAGAGCCTGGAGGAGAAAGAGTGGGAGCTGTAATGACTTGAAAGAGAGAACCATAGATTCTTCTAACCCTCTCTTGGAGAACCCACCAGACTTCCTGGGCAAGATGGGCCAGGCAAGAGGGACTCAGGGGGCCAATTTTGATAGTTTTACGTTCTTCTGAAGTGAGATCTCCAAGGATATTAGCTTTGGTCCCTTCTTTCAGATCCAATTTCTTTAGGACTCTGGAGAAAGGGCTGGTAGGCCTATCTTGACTAGTGCCTTCTTTTTAAAATGTTTTTTCTATTTTATTATATACTTTAAAATCATCAACAAATGTAAATATTTTAGTATGAAAAAACCAAAAAGAAGATTGTATATTAAACTGTGAGTTTATGTTATGTATTGTTTGTATTTAAAACATGTATTATATTTTACAGAGTAGTAACAAAATTGTCCTATGTGTCTCCCGAATTTTTTTTGTTTTCATCTGTGTACTTTTAAAATGTGTTGTTTATGCCACTGTCTTTAGTTCTGTCTTTCTCATCTTCCTTTCTTTCTTTACATTTCTTCTCTGCTCTCTCTCTCTCTCTCCTTCTTTCTCTCTCTCTCTTCTTCTTCTTCTTCTTTTTTTGCTTTTTGCAGGTCTACCACTACTCACTAATTACCCCAAATGGACACCTTCCCTTACAACAAGTAAACATAGTCCACAAAAGTTTTAAATAAAATATTAGCAACTAGGCTACAACAACATATTAGAAAGATTACACACTATGGCTAGAGTTGGTTCAACATAAGGAAGACTATAAATATAATAAATCATGTTAACAGTGTACATAATAAAACCACACAATTATATCCATAGAAGCTACAAAATAAGTTTTTCACAAAATCCAACACCCATTTCTGAAAACAAATGAAAAAGGCACAAAGCACAGGAATAAAAGTACCTATCTTTAACATAGTTAATAAGATCTATCTCAAACCAAGAGCACAGTTCATCATGGGCTAGCAGGCAAAAAAGCAGGGCTCAGAGGACTGAATCACAGGCAGCTGTGGCAGTTCTAGACTTCTCAACCCACAAACACCAAAGACATCTTAGCAGATCAGTAGGAAAGGTCTGTCAGACCATGGGGAGAGAGAAGCTTGATCCGGCCCTCTTCCCGGTGCAACCCTGAGGTGGTGGCTGCTTCCAGAGCTCTCAGCCCACAGACTGAGGCGGGGGCAAGCAGCTGACCAGAGGGGGATTGCAGGGATCTCTTTGCTGGTGCTGAGGCAGGATTCTCTGGCTTTGCCTGTGCTTGGCTCTGGGTTGCAGTACTAGGTGGTGGTCCTGGGGCAAGGAGGAGCTCTGGCATGGTGGAGCTTATGGTGGTGGTACAAAGAGAATCCTCCTCCCAGTTACAAGGCAGAAAAGAGTGCTTGTGCTCACACATAGACCAGAGCCCAGGCCAGCAAAGGAGTAAACACCTTGCCCCTGATTGTACCACCTTGGAAGAATTGAAGATTTACAGGTCCCTAGAAGTATCTCTGAAAACAATTGCATGGGGGCAGCTAGCTGGCACAATGGATAGAGCACTGGCTTTGGAGTCAGGAGGACCTGAGTTCAAATCCAGCCTCAGACACATAACACTCACTAGCTTAACCCCAATTCCCTCATCAAAAAAAATAAAAATAGATAAATGAATAAATAAACAGCTGCACAAAACCCCTGAAGCTTGGGTCAGTACATTCTCCACACTGGAAGCAGACCCTTACCTTAACAAAGAGTTCATAACTCAAGTAATTGGCTGGGATCATGAGCAAACTTCACAAAAAAAAATCAGACCATAGAATCTTTCTTTGGTGACAAAGAAGATCAAAACATACAACCAGAAGGAGACAACAAAGTCAAAGCTCCTACATCCAAAGCCTCCAAGAAAAATAGGAATCAGTCCCAGGCCATGGAAGAGCTCGAAAAGGATTTTAAGAAGCAAGTAAGAGAAGTAGAGGAAAAACTGGGAAGAGAAATGAGAATGATGCAAGAAAATCATGAAAAACAAGTGAACAGCTTGCTAAAGGAGACCCAAAAAAAATACTGAAGAAAATAACCCCTTTGGCTTAACCCAAATGGCAAAAGAGGTCCAAAAAGCCAATGAGGAGAAGAATGCCTTAAAAAGCAAAATTGGCCAAATGGAAAAGGAAGTCCAAAAGCACTGAAGAAAATACTTCCTTAAAAATTAGAATGGAGCAATTGGAAGCTAGTGACTTTATGAGAAATCAAGACATTGTAAAACAAACCAAAAGAATGAAAAATAGAAACAATGTGAAATATCTCATTGGAAAAAACTGACCTGGAAAATAGATCCAGGAGAGATAATTTAAAAATTATTGGACTATCTCAAAGCCATGATCAAGAAAAGAGCCTAGACATCAACTTTCAAGAAATTATCAAGGAAAACTGCCCTATATTCTAGAACCAGAGGGCAAAATAGAAATTGGAAGAATCCACAATCCCTCTGAAAGAGATCCCAAAGGAAAACTCCTAGGAATATTATAGCCAAATTCCAGAGTTCCCAGATCAAGGAGAAAATATTGCAAGCAGCCAGAAAGAAACAATTCAAGTACTGTGGAAACACAATCAAGATAACACAAGATTTAGCAGCTTCTACATTAAGGCACTGGAGGGCTTGGAATATAATATTCCGGAGGACAAAGGAGATAGGATTACAACCAAGAATCACCTACCCAGCAAAACTGAGTATAATCCTTCAGGGGGAAAAATGGACATTCAATAAACAGAGGACTTTCAAGCATTCTTGATGAAATGACCAGAGCTGAATAGAAAATTTGACTTTCAAATACAAGACTCAAGAAATGAAGAGGTAAACAGGAAAGAGAAATCATAAGTGACTTATTCAAGTTGAGCTGTTTACATTCCTACATGGAAAGATGATATTTTTAACTCATGAGACCTTTGTCAGTATTAGAGTAGTTGGGAGGAAAAGATAGATAGATAGATAGATAGATAGATAGATAGATAGATAGATAGATAGATAATAGATAGATAGATGGCACAGGGTGAGTTGAAGATGAAGGGATGATATCTAAAGGATAAAATTAAGGAATGAGAGAGGATTATACTGGGAGAAGGAGGAAGGGAGAGGTAGAATGGCATAAATTATCTCACATAAAACAGACTTTTGCAGTGGAGAAGTGGAGGAAGGTGAGAAGAAATGAGTGCATCTTATTCTCATCAAATTTGGCTTAAGGAAGGAATAACATACACACTCAGTTGGGTATGGAAATCTATCTTACCCTACAGGAAAATAAGACGGAAGGGAATAAGAGTGGGGAGATGATAGAAGGGAGGGCAGATTGGGGGAGAGGGTAATCAGAAGCAAAAACTTCTGAGGAGGGACAGGGTCAAAAGAGAGAATAGAATAAACAGGGGACAGGATAGGATGAAGGGAAATAGAGTTAGTTTTTCACAACATGACTACTATGGAAGTGTCTTGCATGACTACACATGTATAACCTGTATCAAGTTGCTTGCCTTCTCAGTGAGGAAGGAGGGAGGAGGGGAGAAAATTTGGAACCTAGTTTTAAAAATAAATGTTAAAAATTGTTTTCACATGCAACTGGGAAATAAGATGTACAGGCAATGGGGTATAGAGCTCTATCCTGCCCTACAGGAAAATAGAAGGGGAAGGGGATAAGAGGAGGGAGGGGTGATAGAAGGGAGGGCAGATTAGGGGAAAAGGTATTCAGAATGCATGCCATCTTGGGGTGGGGTGAGGGGCAAGATGGGGAGAAAATTTGGAACTCAAAATCTTTTGGAAGTGAACGTTGAAAACTAAAAATAAACAAATTAATAACAAAAAAAAGGAAAAAGAAAAAAATGAAAATTAACACAACTCTGAGATTGATTTTCACACCCATCAGTTGGTAAAGATGACCAAAAAAAAGAAAGAAAATGACAAATGTTGGAGAGGCTTTGGAAAATAAAGCATACTGGTACACTGTTAGTGGAGCTATAAAATGATCCAGCCATCCTAGAAAGCAATTTGGAACTATGTCCCCAAATATTATTAAATTGTGCATATGCTTTGGACCAGCAATACCACTGCTAGGCCTATATCTCAAAGAGATCAAAGGAAAAAGAAAAGGACTCATATGTACAAAAATATTTCTATTAGCTCTTGTAGCAACAACAAACTGGCATCTAAGGGAGTACTCATTTGTTGGGGAATGGCTGAAGAAATTACAGCTTGTGAATGTGATAGGGTATATCGCACTATAAGAAACAGCAAAATGGATGGTTTCAGAGGAAAATGGGAAGATCTCTATCATTTGAGGCACAGTGAAGTGAATAGAACTAGGAGAACATTATTGACATAATGACAGTAACATTATAGAGAAAAACAACTTTGAAAGGCTTTACAACTCTGATTAATGCAATCATAAACCACCAGGCCAGAAGATTTAAGATGAATCACACTGCCCACCTTCTGCTATTAAGCTGATGAACTTAACCATAAGAATGAGGCATCTATTTTTGGACATAATTGACATGGGCATTTGTTTTGCTGGACTACCTGTGTTTGTCGGGAAGGTGTTGTTTGTTGTTTTTGTTTTTTAATTCTTCCTTTGGGGAAGGGGGATGTTTTTTAAAAAAGCAAATAAGCATAATAAGGCAAAACAGGAATATACTGGCCATGTCAAAAACATATGTCCCATTCTGCCTCTTTAGTCTATCACTTTTATTCCAAGAGGTAAGAGGCGTGCTTCATCATCAGCTTTCTGAAGTCCTGATTGGTCTTTGAATTTTTCAGAGTTACTAAGGCTTTCCAGATTGCTTTCCTTTCCATTACTGTGATTATTGTGCAATTTATTCTCTTGATTCTGCTCATCTCACTTGCAATAATTCATTCAA